TTATGCAGACGTTGTCAAAATTGTGAATGAATCTGTGGCGCTTAGCTAAAAAAGAGGACATACAGATAATAAGGTGTTGGGCATGGGAACGTTTCGTGGTATCTTGTTTGTTTGTGTCTTTTTCCTGCGTGAGCCTTGTGCTGTTTCGTAATCTCCACTTAAACTCACAGCCCCTAATATCCCAAATCTGCTCCTAATGGACACACACACACACACACACACACACACACACACACACACACAACACACACACACACACACACACACAAGACAGACACGCACACAGACCTGTGTTACTTTCTTCAGATGAGCCTGTGTTCTGGGTGGGCTCATCTTTCTATCTTTTCTAATCCCCCCCCCCCCATGACCCCTGCTCTGACAGACACAGAGCTGGATCACTGCGTCTCTCTGCAGGCACAATGCTCTGACCACTGCAACAAGAACTGGGCTCTGCTCAGCCTTAAGCTTCAAAACAAGATTTGTCAAAAGATGTAAACCAAGTTTCAGGAGACTTCCAAATAGTTTGTTTCTTGGAAGCTTAATTTATCACGTTGACATTTGAATTATTTCTCAACACTTGAGTGCTGCACTTCCTTTGGAATATCCATATTATTATTTTTTCATTCTAGTATTTCCAAACAGTGGAATCATTGATGATATTGCATGGTATTTATTTGTGATGGTGTAGTGGTGGTTTGCAGGATTGCTTACGATTTGTGTTATCCAAACATTTCCAGTGTATTAAGTCTAAAATGCATACGTTAAATTAGGGCTGTGCGATTATGGCAAAAATCATAATCACGATTATTTTGGTCAATAATTGATATCACGATTATTAAAAACGATTATCCATTTACTTTGAAACATCCATATATTGAAAAAAAAATGTGAACAGTATGTTTTTAACAGTTGATTACCCTGAACTTCAAGTATAATTCAACTGAAAAAAAAAAAAAAAAAAAAAAATTGAATTTAAATTTTTTTTTTTTTAATAAAAATAATAATCGTTTTATTTCGATTACATTGTTTTCGTAATCGTTGCAAGCCAAAATCGTAATCGAGATTAAAATACGATTAATTGCACAGCCCTACGTTAAATAGATGTTTTTAACTATCAAAATATTCTTCTTGAATCTATATTATATTGCATTTGGCACAATTTCCCTTAGACGAAAAAACAGTAATAGAAAAAGTATTTTTTAATAATTAAAAAAGGATTCGCTCATTTAATCCGATGCATCACGTGATACATATAAAATGAGGATTTTGTTCAAAGATTGTATTTCTTTTAGGGGGATGATGTCATTAATTATGATGACAGGCATTTGAATCTAAAAACCTCAATTGATGCTTTTTACCAAACTGAAACAGTGATCATACAGAAAAGGTGGAAATGGTGCTGGAAGGTGTGATATCGTATTTAAACCGATAGTGCGAGTTTTGATGCGGTTGGCGTGATAGATGTCTCTTCTCCAGGGGGAGTTGATGTCTTATAGCTTTACTGTAAATGTTTACATTCCTACATGCACTGATGTTATCTGCTAATAGTTTCTGGAACAAGCCTGAAGAGTCCTCTGGGTGGGATTATTTGTGGTGTGCGTGTGTTTGTGCCTGTGTGTATGTGTGTTTCAGCACAGGTCAAAGGGAAGCAGCTCTGTCTTTAAACAGAGGTATTAACCATGACCCCTCTCCTTCCTGAGTCCTGCCCCTGTGTCTGCGAGGGCTAACGCATTAAGAGCAGCGACGCACACACACTCCTGCTCGGTCCTTTTCACAAAGCCAAATATTCAGCGGTTGTTACAATTGTGTCTGATTGAACAATCAACAACTGGCAGCCACAACTGAATAGTACCTGGGAAGCCTCTCCCTGTCTCGCTTTCGTGTGAGCTCTAAATCTCATTCATATTACCCCGTCACAGTCTCAGTGCCAAGAGCGGTTATGTTAAGATGATATTGTTTAAATCAACAAGGCCCTTGAGAAAATAATTCCTGTTTCAATAGGCACATCGGAAATGCATGTGTAATTGCTGCTCAGGAGCCCTGTGAGAATTCTCCATCAATAGATCTGGATCTTAAAAGCAAGCCAAGCATGGATTAGGTGAGGGCTGTCATTCCTGTGTTGCTCACTTTAACTCAGCCCCACCCTCAACACATTCCTCCCAGCTGAGAAATCTGCAACAAAAAGACAACAGCAAATGTACCCGTTTCCATTCACAAGTGGTATTTAAATGTCATGCTTTGTTCAGTGGACCCTGGTGCTAGTGATTGTTCAAAGAGGCAGATGGACATGTTCTCCTGCTCTGCTGTTTGGCTCCTTTTATTCCCTCTCTGCTTTATGGGCCTACTCATGTGGAGGCACACTAAATAAAGCACAGCTCAAAGTGTTTACATACCTGAGCATTACATATTTACACATGCAGTAATGCTTTTAGGCTCAGTGGACTACTGCCTGCAACAGCACACAACTGCTGAGATGAGGGAATGTAGCAAAGACGTCTGACAGGGCAAGACACTCCAGCAGGCAGACAATTAAACAGATCCTAAGGGTAATCACATGTATGAGAAGAGAAAGGGAAACGTCATAATTATTACTTTTTTTAACTTTCCTTTGTAAACTGCTCTTCCCTAGTGATTACTATACTGTACACTCAAAGGCATAAACACATGTATACATCTGTACATGCATACACTTCTGCTATGTACGCACATTTAGTTTAACCTTTAATCTAATGTAAAACAAATGGATGACATGGCTTGAGTTTTGATGTGTTATTGTCTGTTGCCATGCTCCCAGATTTAATCAATTAAATCGGGAATAATTACTGCTACAAATAAAGGCTTAAGCACATGAAAACATATACCTCAATTATCTTCAAAGTAAAGACTCAAAATGATCTCTTTGTTGTGTCACTCAGTTTTCAGTTACTTGTCTACGGAAATCTACGACATCAATGGGTGCAAGAAAAGAAAGAAAAATCGTATCTAGTCATGGAAGAACGCAGAGTGACTAGAGCAACTATTCAACAGCACAATGTGACTAATCAGAGCTCATGGAAAATCGCATACCACAATGCAACACCATGACCTTTTCCGTTGCATCTTAGTCATCTTTGTCTTGAACAGCCAATAATCCTGTGTGTGTGTGTGTGTGTGTGTGTGTGTGTGTGTGTGTGTGTGTGGTGTGTGTGTGTGTGTGTGTGTGTGTGTGTGTGTGTGTGTGTGTGTGTGTGTGTGTGTGTGTGTGTGTGGTGTGTGTGTGTGTGTGTGTGTGTGTGTGTGTGTGTGTGTGTGTGAATAATTAATTAATTAATTAGACTTAGTGATGCCCTGGTGATATCCAGTCAGACAGTCTAAAGGAGTGTTATGTGTGTGAGTCCTCCCTCTCAACAACGTGTTGTATCAACCACTTAGGAGAGTTTGAAGTGGTGTTTTGATTTAAGAGATCAATGAGGTTTGGGCTGGTGCCATCGTGTGGCAAAAGGTGACCCTCTCTGCCAAAGCAGCTGGTGGTGGGAAAAGGGAAGTTTAAGTACCTATTTGAATAATTTTGATGTCTTTTAATGTTTACGTTTCGTAATATATGCTTATTTATATAGACATAATACCACTCAATCTCTGTAGTACATCGTTCAGGTTAAGAAATTCACTTTTTATTTTCCTATCAAGTGCGGCCATTGTGTCCATGTCTTTAGGATGCGTGCAATCTTTTCGGGAAAACGTGATTAATTTGAGCCGTCTTGCGGCTGGATGGTGCAACGTCTCCACGGTCTATTGACCCTCTCTGACTCATGCAGTGTACAGTTGAGACTAGGACTCTTAACACACATACAAAAGACACCTTTCTTTAAAAAAAACAAAAAATCATCTTTGTAAGTTATTTAAATGTGGCCGTTTTGTATATTGCTAACATCTTCAAATTAAATAAGCTGTTGTCAGCATTTCTTTGCATGGAACTTTTTACGGTACATTATATTTATAATACTGACATTCTCCCAAAGGTCCATAAACCTAATGTAAAGAATGTGTTCTTGAAGGTGTGGAGTTTTATGATCAACAAAGATATCCCATAAATAAAATAGATACCTTCTTAAAGTGTCACAGTCTCTGCCATGTTTTTAAGGATACTTTCTCTTGTTTGTATAAATTCAGGATTCCTTTCTGCTCTGTCTGGTCTCTGAGACTGTAACTGGCTGTCGTTAAGGAGAGGAAGAACATCCTACATGGGCCAGGCAGGAGCCATTTCTTTGGATGAGGAGGGGCAGGCTGATTACATATATATTTACACGGATATATTTTGTAGATAATTTGCTAATTATTTCAAACGTAACCTCTCTTTAGATCTTCTTGAGTTATTTCACGTCTACTTTTTCTTTTTTTACATAGTCAAATAGCTTTAGTCATTCATCTCAATAATGGAGCGAGCGAGTGTTTCTCCCCTCAGATAAATTGGACTTTTTTGCAGCTGTGAAACTTAATTCGCACATAAACTCTGAGAAATCCATGTTGTTCATATATGGGGCCCACTGTCTTATAATCTGCCTTATTGGAGTTATTTGCCAAATGTTTAAGAATGAATGCTTATTAGGTGAACTTGAATGTAAGATGTATTTGTATTAAATAGAATATTTGTTTTTTTTCAAAGTGAAATATTCAGGAACTCTTTGACAATTACTGGAGTGTGGAGGAGTATTACATCTTACATTTCAGTGTTCAGTGTTGCAACTCCCTCCCTAACATTGATAATACTTAATTTGGAATTGTCCTTGAAATAGAAAAAAACGGTCAAAAAAGTTTTATACAACGCATTGCACCATTAGAATATAAAGTGATTCCGGTAGAGAATGTAGAAATAAAATTGGGGTCTTGAAAATAAATTAAAATGCTTTTCTCCTTCTCTCTATGTCCAGCCCTTTCCCCATGACAAAAAACAAACACAACCCACCCATGTTTCAACAGCAATTGTGTCTTTAAATAGATCGAATAATATTAATAAACAAAATAGATGGAAAATGTTTTTTTGTTTCGTTTTTTTAAAGAACAGATCAGCAGTAGTTAGCTTTTACATAATTATTTTGCTGTAAATCATTACAAAATAATAACCACACTCAACTCTTCCTTTCATATAAAACATTTTTTTCACACAGTTATAATTGTATCAATTGACAGAGCTTTGTAATGCCCACACTATATTACTGAAAGCTAACACTTATAGAATATTTTTACAATAATAATGATTATTTATTATCATTATCATTTAAATTGCCTTGAATCACTGAATAGCTCGAAATAGTCATGCTGTAAGACATTGGCATTTTAGAAACCCAGAAAAACAGGCCAAAATGCTAAACTGGCTTCTAGACAAATAACCAAGAAAAATTAATATGTACAATCCCAGTCAGTCCGACAATAGCCTGATCCATACAGAAAGCTGCCAACACGTTGAGTGCAGAGACCCTAACTTGTCCATGTGTCCTCAGCCGTGAACAGCTCAGAACATCCCCCCACAGGACCTGCTGCCCAGGCTCCAGGGCTGGCAGTAGTAGTGCAGGCAGGGCTGGTACCGATAGGCCTGCTGGTACAGAGGCACAGTCACTGGGATTTGTAGTCCATTGGCCTGATAGTACTTTTGATTGTCCCTCACCAGCACTTGTATTGCTACTTTCTTCGGTGAGCTGCACGCCGCCAGCTCGGCTGCCATCTGGCGCCGTTTGGTTTTATATCTCCGGTTCTGGAACCAGATCTTCACCTGGGTCTCTGTCAGCTTCAGAGCGTCTGCCAGGCCGGACCGATCTGGACCCGAGAGATATCGCTGCGTGTTGAACCGACGCTCAAGCTCGTATACCTGTGCGTGAGAGAAGGCCGCCCGGGAGCGCTTCTTCGCACCCGGCCTGCACTGCTGCTCATCGGCGGAACATCTCACCGTCTCCCCGCTGAGGTGGCATCCCTCCTCTGCCTCCTCCTCTTCTTTCAGACGTTTATCCAGATCCACACAGTGTTGCTGCTGATCGGCAGCGCCTATGACAACGGAGATGACAATAGGTGTGTGTTTCTCTGTCAAGATGCTGGTCAAAAGCCTAAAGCCACTAAAGTTGCTGGCTGAGAGGTCCCTTCAAGCTTTCCTCTTCCTCATCCCTTTCACACAACAAATCAGGTATATAATGGAATGGATAATAACCTCTTGGTTGCATTTTATAGCACTGTCCCACAGCAACAATACCCTTCTCAAACACATATTTGAACGTAAATGTATTGAGCTATAACATTGAATATTCGTAACACACAGTATATAACTGTCCCTTATTCAAATTCATCACTTCAAGGCAAGGTTTTCTTATCTTTTTTTCTTCTTAAATGTGCTATAATTTTAACTTCAAGTTGCAAATGAAAGTAACAAACCGAAATTATCAACAAGTTTTCATTTTAGTTTGAATGTAAAACCAGGACACCAGAGCCATAATTGCTTACTAACGGAGAGAATAAAAACGGCTCACCTTCTCTCTGAGTTCAGTCTCCTCTCCTGTGGCTCTCTCTTTGAGAGTAACAGATCGGAGGTTTCCCACAGACAGCCTGCGTCAGCGGGGAGTCTCCCCCGGATGGAGGCGGGGTTTCTCAATCCGCGTCTTTAGACAGACCGGGGACCCCTCGTGCCATGCCCTGTGCAGATGTTGCGCTTTAGTGCGCAGATGCTCATCTGCACTCCTATCGGGCTTCTCCTGGGCATCACGTCCGGTGAGTATGTCTTTTATGGAGAAGGACGAAAAAACTTCAATGTCATGATTTTAATGAGAAGCAGGGATATTTCTTCAGGATCGCATGAGATTGACTTGGAGACATCGAGAGATCAGCCTCTCCAAAACAAAAGTCCTCACTGATCGATGTTTCACAGCTCTCAGTAATTGCTCTAATTTAATTGTGGTGAGCTCAGTCCGGACTGCTAATGAACAGACTACACCAGGAGCTGTCAGATCTATACTATATTCTGGGCAGCAGCAGCAAACAGCAGCAGTTAACCTTTTGATAGGACAGACTCTGCTGGTCCCTCCTCCGAACCGCCCAGCTCCATGCGCTCAGGACCACGGACATTAATTTCACAGGCGAGGTATTACTCTTTGTTGAGGTGTAATTTTTAAAAGAACCAAATTAATTATTTAAAAAAGGTTAATGGCTCTTTAGCTACAAGTGGAAGTTGTGATTAGTCTTACAAATATCAATTATATGAACACTGTAGTAAGAAAATCTGATGCGAAAGTTCGTTGAGCGTGCGTAAAACGCAGGTTTTCATATGCAAAGTGGTTATAAACCCATTATACAATTCCACAGCCCATGCCGAAATTTATACGAATTATTATATTCCGTAAAGCTTCAATGTGACCCTCTTTCTAATTAAAATGCCTAAATAAGGTTCAATCCATGTTTCAATCTCAACAAAATGCAATAATCGTTACTGAGAATCTCATCACTTTTTTTCATTTTCTTGATAATAATGACTTATACATATGATATTTTTTCATTTTTATTTATACTGTTTTTAAGTTTAAATTATGTAGTCTGAGTTTCTGAGGGCTGCAACGCCATAGAACTATAATATATGAAAGAAAATCCCTTAATTATTATTTTTAATTTGACTAAATAACTGAAAGTGACCTTATATATACAATAAAGTACGATCTATCTATCTATCTATCTATATGTTCAAGTCTGAAGAGAGGACTTTTAGTCATGTTACTCAAACGGGTGAGCAGCGCCACCGTGTGGTCATGATGCATGGTGTCCAAAGTGCTCAAAGTTGAAGAGGCGCTTAAAAACAGAAGATGGCAACTGCACCAATACACACCTCCCCTTTCTCTCTTGTTTGCTTACACACACTCGCACTCTTGCACAGTCGACAGACCTGTCCTTCATGACAGAGACGCAATGACAGATGCACGGATCTGCCTCCTTCGTGTTGTTTTGTTTTAGTCCTGTGACTAAACGGAAACAATCTCTCTGTTTGAGTACAAATCAGCTCCAGAATGTCACTACACGTCCGGAATGGGAAACATGGAGGCACAATGAACATGTGTTTCAAACTACGAGATGATATCCACACACCAATCATTTTACTCTGGGAAAAGCATATGGAATAGCTTGGGGTTATTTAGGCCAATAGTACACTTCTTTCTGCAATACACGCTGTTGCAATTGATTAGATGTACCTGATCACTTACTCAGGTTTGTAGGCAACATGCCTCTTTAAAAACTGGTCCAAATACAACTCGTATTTTCGGACTTCACTTTACTTTGCCTTGTGTTTAGTTCCTTGACGCGCACAACCTGGAAACTCGGAATAAGCATTGAATAAATCTCTTTAGACCAATAGCAATTACTGAACATGTGTTTGCTTTCGATCATTTGAGAAAATGATATCATTTATGTTTCGCTCGAATATGAAATTAATATTTAAATCTGGGTCTGGTGAGTCTGCATCAGGTTGCTTTCACACTCTAGTCAAGCCAATCATTTTACAGTGAACACAGGTGTATTTTTACACTGTGCATGCACCCTATACTTAAACCTCTCCAATTTCATATTCAATTTTGCCAGAAGCCTTACTCTGACATTGATGAATAAAGGTCAAATTTGAGATGCATTCGCTATAGTCCTGAACAAGGTTTTCCACATCTGATGCCATCTTGGTGACCAGGTTGACACCTAAGAGCCTTTGCTTCTCCACGCACTTTTCCTTCTCTATATTTGGGCTCTTCTTCCTTTGTGAGCTCCTCAAGTGGTTGCCATTGGAGACTGTGTTTTGGGAAACTCCACGCCTTACGCAGCGAAGATCGCTGCTATCTTTGGAGGGGAAAGATAGCGATCGCAGCGCCTGTCAGAGCAGCCATGGCCAGGCCGCGTCCCTCAGGCATCGCCCGTCCTGTCGCCAGCTCTATTTACACTAGTGACTGTGCAGCACTTAGAGCTGACACCAGGTATGTCCTACCGGCAGTGCAGTAGCCAGGGGAAGTGGCCAGTCAGGCTATCAGAGGAGACAAACCTGTTTACGTTGCCATTCATCTCCATTAATAGTGTCTGCGTATTCGGCCATTGCCGGAGGTGAAGGGTGTTTACTTAACTCATCTCCAATTAACACTGAGTGTCCTCGAGTGCAGTTAGTGAAAAATGTGGGTAATTATTAAAGGATTATGTTATAATATATCATAACAATTACTGCTATATCATTGAAACCATTTGTATTATTATAATTATGATAATATTATTATAATAATCATAACAATTATTGTTGTAAAAATAGGCCTGGACGATATTATACATATATTTGTATGTTTGTCTTTGTCAGTATCATACATCACCGAAGAGAAAAATTCCCAACACTATTTATCATCCAAAGCTCCGAGTTTATTCGCTGTGTGGGTCCCGATGGCTGTCTGGTTAATGTCCATCTCTGAATCCTGACCGGACATTAGCTCGCCTCTAAATTCTCTCTGTTTCTGGTTCTTCTCTCAAACTAAAGTCTACCCAAGCTTTGTCACAGGAAAAAAAGAGTTTGCTTCGCTTGAGAAACGATTGGAGACGATAAGAAAAGCTCACGTAAATATAGAATAAGATGACTCGACGTTACTTTACGATTGAGATGAGATGCATGTTGAAATGCAAATACATGCTCTTACAAGATCGTAAACGCATTTTTACATATGTATTGTATATCACACACACACACACACACACACACATAACACACACACCACACACACACACCACACACACACACACACACACAATATGATGTCATTATTGGTGATAATGTTCGTCATTGCAGCTTGAGTGTAACAGACTTTAAGCATCAGGTCACATTGTTCATTTAATTTAGCCAATTTTAGAGTAGGCCTAATACAACGTATTTTGGCCAAAAATAAATCTAACTTTTAATAAGGAAAAAGCACAATAATTTATAAGAATGCATTTTCTTGCACTTGTGGTACTGTTATTTTCTTGCAATGATGCGATTGTATTATTATTTTAGTCCTATTTTAATTAATTACTATGGACTATATACCATATGCATACATGTTTATGTATTATGTATTTATTATAATATTATAATTTATGTATTATGTATCGCATAATACATACAACAATTTGAGCCGAAATCTGCTTTTCTTCTGCAACATACATCCGACAATCAAAATATCCAACAGCAGGTTTAATACTTTTTATTAATACGTTTGTGAGAACAATGCGCATACTGTTTTGGTTTGAATCAGTCAACGAGTTAGGGTTTCCTCACAGGGCCTGCCTTGAATTACAGCTGGCCTTACTTGTGGTCGTTACAGAGTTTTAAGTTGTGCTTTCGTTGCATTGTCGATCTGGTGTAGCCACATGCTTTAGTCCATTTATCCATCTCAGAGAAGTCTCTCCCAGTGATCGTGCGTAAAGACTGCGCTACCATCACCATGCCCGTATGCCCTGCAGAGCTCCCTGGCAGACTGGGACTCCTGGTCCTTGGGGCGCCTGGCTTTGCGTCGGGTTGCACCATGTTTCCCAAATTCATGTTCATAAAAGCATTAGCAGAGGTGTTTGCTGGGTGGCAGAGCAGGCAAACTCGAATAAGTACAAGAGTAAGTGTTAGTATACAACGAGTTGTTGTAGGCTGTATGCAGGATAGCCGTTGTAGCTGTACGGGTTTGGAGCTCCCACTGGTGTAAGAAGCGTTATAGTTCTGTGATCCAGTCAGACACGGCCCTCCCGTCCCGGACCAGCACCGGCACAGCCACCCTCCTGGCGGCGGTGGGTGGTGGTGGTGATGGTGATGACCTGCCATCTCCAGACTCTTGTCCTGCCGCTGCCTCTTGCATTTGTACCTCCGGTTCTGGAACCAGATCTTGACCTGGGTGGAGGTGAGTTTCAGGGAGGCTGGCCAGGTGCTCTCTCTCCGGGGCGGACAGGTAACGCTGCTGCTTGAAGCGCCGCTCGAGCTCAAACACCTGAGCCTTGGGAGAAGAGCACGCGGGGTTTCCTCCTGGTCCTCTGCTGCTTGGTGACCGCTTCTCCGAGTCTGGATCCTCACACTCGCCCCGCAACGCCCCGCAGCTTCTCTGCGTGGAGAAGAAACGTTTCAATGAACATAACGTTTACAACTAAACTGTATAGAAATATGTATCAAACACTGCTAGCTCAACTCATATTCCTGATATCCACATGAATTTCATTCATTTCTAAATATTATTTTCTTAAATTAAATATGAGTTATTTCAACAGCATATACACATTTTGGATTTTTTCAAATGTAGTTATATTTTTCATTATTTCACCACAACAAGGTTTTGAAATAGTAATTACAAAATATAAAAAATAATAAAACAATGACTTGATTGGAAATAGCTTTACCGATATTTTTAATCGATCAAATCAATCAAGACCTGGTATAAAAGAGGACTCAATTAAAGTAATTTATCCAGGAACAATTACTACGCTAACACATTTAAATATATTTTATTCTAACATTTATACCGATTTCTGTGATGATTTATTACACATAGGCAACATCATTCGCAGCAAATTGTTGATTATGAATGTAGCCTATTTATTTGAATTTTTTTGAAAAATACAAATCACTTCAGAATTAAACAACCCCCATCCAATCTGCCATTCGCTTTGGGGAACTGAAGGGTAATGTGTTATATTTGGAAATGTTTACCGCTATCTTAGCCTACGCTTTTTAGGAAACATCTTTATCAGCCTAACATATATAGTTTTAAAAAAACTCTCTTTCTTGTACATTTCCTTCCGTGCATTTTTTCTATTTCTTGTGGGCCACTACTTGTCTAATATCAACATTCTATTGGTGAATATTACTGTTGTATTTAATTGAAACAATCTTAAATGCTTGTAAGCTTAATGGAACAATGGCGTCCATCGTGCAAGGTGGGGCTCTTGCTTTAAAGATGAATGAAACACAAATAATAAATCATACGCATATATATTAGCCTACTATTTAATTTAAATATGATTATATATTTTAGTAGGCCCTACAATTTATCCAGAGCAGAGTTATTATCTTCCCTCGATTAGCATTTTGCGATGGTTTCATTTATTCAAGAAATGATACCTGTGAGTTTGCAGTCATATTTTCTCCGGCATAGGCTATATCAAAGTCAATTTGTGAGATGCAGGTTTTGTTTAGCAATAAATGAAACTCCTCTGTCATTTATGTTGCCTACTCCATGCTACCAACAACATATGTCATCACCAACCATCCTCACACTTTTGGATGAACATATTATTATTATAAGAATTATAACTCACTGCTATCTTGGTCCTCCGGCTCGGTCTCCAGCCGGAGCTCTGCGGAGTGTTTCTGCGCCGGGCTGTCGAACAGCTCCCCCGGCAGCCCGGACTCCGGCAGCCGGTCCTGTGAAGCAGGCAGCGTGTTGAGGTACGACATCCTCTCCTCGCTCTCCGAGAGTCCGGAGCTGATGGGACTCGGACTGTCCCTCCCGGCCAACATGCAGGAGGGGGGGTGAATGAGAGCGGAAAGGTTTATTTGGGAAAGCTCCCTGCTGTGACAGAGCCCCGGAGAGACCGAAGCAGGAGAAATACTGGAGCTGGTGCTGCTGAGATTGTTGCTGCAACTCTAACTTCAAAATGTCCTTCACGGAGAAAGGCGTGGTAGAAGAAGTTATGAGTGGGCTGGGGAGCATTATTACCACCAACAGAGAGATGACGGGTAACAAATAGTCAACAGGCCCAAAATTGGACTAATTTGTCTCCGGACGGCGCGTAGAAACTGTAAATACCCCGTGCGTAAGTTTGAAGAATGGTCGCGCATTGCTTGTTTTTCATGCAGATGGAGGAGGGCTGGTTTTCTTTCAGCTGTGACATCCCTCTCTTTTGGGTGTGTGTCTATGTCTGCAGGGCTGGGTGAGAAAGAGAGGTCGATCCTGTTTGGTTGGCTGAATTAGGTTATAGAGAAAGAGCTGGGTCAGCCAAGATGCTGTCCTCTCCCTTTCAGTGACGTGCTGAAGCGGGGGAGGGATGACGGTTCTCTCTCTCCCCCCCCTCTCTCTCTTTTACATACTTTCTGTTTTCCCAGCAGAAGAAAACACTAACACCAATAAGGCATTCAAAAAGCCTTTCATGGTGTGCAATGAAAACATTTATATGGGGAAATCCACTGTTATCCACCCAATAGTTTATCCGCTGACTCGAATGTATTATCTCCTCGCCTCTGCTGAATGGACCAACGGCCTCACAGTTCTTCCCATCATCACTACAGTGCTTTTTAGATTAGGCATATCTTCGTTTCCTGTCTGGGCAAACCATGGATAAGATACTCTGCCGTAACTGTGGGAAATGCGATAAAATTGGCAACCCGAAGAGATATGAAGTATATAAATGTAGTGATTTATTTATGTCTACTTAGTATGGGAAAGTTTGATTATTTTCCACCATAAGTTGGCCACGGTGATGCTTTTCCTTGACAATATGTTCAGTATTTTTGGAAAGAAGCCCATGCGTAAAATATTAGTTAAATTGATGTTAGTCAATTGTAAAGAACATTTTATTTTTCAGTTTATAATGTATTTCAATAATGATAATACAAATAATACCACCTTCTTTATATAATGTTAGAATAAGATGTTCTTTAGATCTTGCGTTGGACACCAATAAAAGGATTCTCACAATACTAGTATTCGAAATGTTTTTTCCAATTAAATAAATTATAAATAGAAACATTTATGTGAGTCTTCTCTTGAATGTAGGGCTACCTGTGTGCCAAAGGGCAGACACGCTGTAAGGGGACACCTCTGGTCGCCTATCTGTGGCCAAGTGCAGGCGCCAGGGTCTGAAGGCCCATTGCTCCTAAACCGTGTGGAAAGAAAAGGAAGGCATGCCGACATAATCTCATCCGCTCACCATCAACACGGCGCTGTTTAGATTAGGGCAGCGTCTTCTCCTCTTCTGGGGATCTATGTCTTTTTAAATGCTCCGTTTAAGTGGAGAAGCATTAGGTCTGTGGAGGAAATAGGCGTCAGTGTACACAAGGCTGTCTATTCCAATGTGCTCTCGGGAAACAATAACATTACTTTGGATGCTAATTGAGTGTGCGCTTGGGAAACCGTGAACAGCCTATAGGCTACATTATAGTATTTCCTGAGATTTATAAGGACACGTAATGACAATTCTTCCCAATATCAAAAGTAATTTTTTTGCGAGTTAGGCTATGAGGATTTAAGAGGAATATATTTGCACGTAAAATACCCTAAAATGCGGTCATTGTGTTTCCCAAATATTAACATTTATTGAGTGCAATAATTAAAAGAGACAACAGACCAAATACAGGAACCAATGCCATACGATCACAAAATATACCTTTAATTACAGATACTTATCAGCTGATAAATAACAGGCTGGTTAAATAGGATTAACGCGTAGGCCTAGTGTCTAACGATCTCATGCTATTAAGATAAACGATTTCTTACAGTCCGCTGAACCATGTGAATTTAGAGTGTCACGGGTCAGAGGCGCGGGCTCCAATGGCACAATTACCTTTTAACGCGTGCGCGCGCTCAAACTCGCGAGACCTTAACTGACCATCAGTGGTTTTCGCGTGCCACCGACGACCCTAAAAGTGGCCGAGCAGAAAAGGCGTGTTTTACGGAGCGGAAGAGTCTGTTTCCTGCCTGTAACAAAACCCAGACTCCCAGAGAGTGTCAAGGAGATGCTCGGCTGCTGAATGCAAGACCCCATATATCATCTTCATCTCAGAATCATCGTGATAAACTGGGTTAGGTCAAGCCTGCAGCATGCAGGTCAGCATGGATACACCACAGGGGTCCTAACATATTTAGACACAAAAACAAAGACAAAAATAACCTATTCAAACGATTTTTTACATTTGCAGCAATTTAAATTCACTCACAATTCAAGTTCTGGAGAATTCTTTGAAGTTGATGGCTTGCCATGCAGGGGTGAACATGTTTCTTCTTGTCCTCCCTTCCCTCCATTGGCAGAGTGGCAGGTGTATATCACTGGTTGCAGGCCAACAAGACTGATTCACTTGGAGATAGCGTTGAACGTTCAAAACAGATCCCTGAACACTGAAGGAAAGTTTGATGACTTGGTAATGACTTCAATTATCTTCCCCATAGCCTCTGCTTCTGTAAAGCCGAAAGGCGTTCGATATCTGATGGTTTTTACCGCAGTGGTAAAACTCTACGTAAAGAAGCTTCAACACCTCCAGCGTCTGTGGGCTTCACTGTTGTATAGCACTCGTGTGTGTACCGAAAGAAAATGTGTGTTATTATGACTTGACAGAGCTCTGTAGAGGAGCAATTAACATCTTTCTACAAAGGAGCTAGTTGTTTACAGGTGGTACTACTCTAACAGCCTGGATGTGTGATGAGGAAACTGAAGTATGACTATCCATTTGTCTCACCAAAAGCGAGATCGTTACATTAGGAGAAATGGATTAGCTCAAGTGTGTCTATCATTTGTTTTCCATGTTGTTTAGTGAAGCAGCTCCCCAGCATTCTGTATTAGGAAACAGCGTGGCAAAATGGAAGACACAAGACCATAAAGGACCTTGAAAATATAGAAGAAAGCACAATTAAATGCATGGACTTTCCTTTTTATTGGCGTAGCACCAAGCCAAACCAAACTGTTGTGTGTCAGTAATGGTTAAGCTCTCCGGTCCCGGAAGGTGAGTCTTATCAGCAGCCCATGTGATGGTGTCAGTAGCCAGCATCCAGACTGCTATTGTGCCCCTGCCTCGGTCCGAGTGACGGATGACAGGGCCTTCTCCCTGGAGGAAGTTGAGGAGGCCAGAGGCGAGCCTGGGGCCAGAGTTTTAAGCAAACCCACTCACCTTGGAAGTGTTAACTATTCCACAACGGCAGGCCTAAGGTGCTAACTAACTTGCAGGTGCACCAGTCCCTCAGGGCTCATTGTGTTAACCAGATCAGGGAAAAATATACTAATTAGTTTGTTTGAAAGACGGTGAGTGGGTGATGTGTTTGAGGACCAATGCCCTGTTCTCTGTATCGAAAGGTCTAACTTGAAGACCATGAAATGAGGAAGTGAGGTCAGGCCAGTCTGGGTCCCCTGCCCTTTGCCTTCCCTTGGGTCTCATAAATTAGCCCGCTGTAATTCTCTCCCAGACGGCCTTGCCCCAGCAGGTGTGTGTTTGTATATATGAGCACTAACAGGGGGATGTAAGCGCTGTAATGTCTGTGATCTACGGTGTTGGGAATGTAGTTTGGGAGGAAACATGCAATCTAAATATGCTTATCCTCTCTGCAGCCACACAGGCCATGTAGATAAAGACCCTGCAGGCTTTAACTGAATAGGATGTGTGGACCTTGAATGTTCCTTAGCTTCTGTCCTATTTGGCATTGGGAAAAGTATCACATATCAAAAGGTTGAATCAAGTTCATCTTTGCTCTAAGTAACTCCGGCAGTAATGGCTCTCTTGGGAAAAACAATGTTGCTGTAGTTTGAAGAAGCATGCATGCATCCCGGCCTCAAGCGGTAAACATTCTTGAAATAAAATGCTCTGGCTCTCCAGCAAACATGCTGGTATCTTCATCAAAGTGACAGTTTGTTTTAGCAAAACTCAAACCCCTCATGAATAAGTTCATTTTTTATAAATAATTACCGTACAGGCATGTCATTTCATTATCTGTGAATGGGAGAATTAAATCCCCAACGATGAGCTTCCCATGCGGATAAATACAAATATCATTCTTCATTTTCGATAATAACATAGTCCAGGTTTTTATTTAATAGCATATTTTTTTGTGGCTTTATGCAACAGAAAATAATCACTCGGGGTAATCAATCAGACAAAACTCTTCCACTTCCTGTCTTTGTTTCTTTGCATGCATATTTGTATGAGGCTGAGGTCTGGAAAGCCTGAGTTGGCCAAAAGACAACATCAATCAATTAAAATGGCTCACTGTAGACCTTGGGTTCCACCCAGCCTTATAGGGTAAAGGCCAAATCTGTGAAAAACATCAGTGACATGCATATTAGCAGATCTTTATAAAATAACGATCAATTTCAATTATTTGATCAAACATTTATTTAAAAAAAGTGACACATAAATTGTTTGTGGTTGTTTTTTTTTACTATTTAAACTAATTGTTGGATATTTTGCAAATAATCAAATTAATTTGCTTAGATGGATGAAAATGAATACTCATGTCCATGCATTAAATGTAAGGCCGCTACCTGTACATGCCAGCAACAAGTTTAGCTTTAGCTCAAAGCCTGAATACAAAGGGGAACAGCTAACACACAAACTCTGCTTAGCATCTCTGAGTCTCACAGATTAACATATTAACCACTGGTAGCACCGAAACTTATCTTTAGAGATGTTGGATGTTGTTACCACCAGGCAGAGCCACACATCTCTCTTCCCATCTTCAGTGTGTGTGCTAAGCTAAGCTAACCAGCTACTGGATGTAGCTCCATTGTACAGATAAGAGAGTGGTATCAATCGCTACTGCCATGTTTTCCCAGCTGTGGAAAGTAACCGTTGCAACTGTGAAATGTATCTGTTTGAAGGGGGAAATTGCGAACTGCTCATATTCAGAATCCCGGTAAATTGCCAATTCTGTTCTCAGATACAAATAATTTGCATTGGTGAATTGGTGCATAACATAAACAAAGTCAAATCAATTAAAATTGACTAGGAAATAACTAGAAACATAAACATTTAATAAAGAGAAATACAAAACAAATATGAAAACATGGTATAAAGAATATGTACAAGAAACCTCAATAAATACTTAACTTAAATGTGTATCTTAAAGTGTATTGCAATGATAGTAATGTGATTGTATTTACTTTCAATTTCATTTCATTTTAAATACAATCATTCAGCAAATCTTGTCACTCGGGATACAAATACGATTTTTACAGAGTGAAGTAAATGTTTGCACAAAAAATAAACAGATTTTCATGTCATAAGATGGAGCACACACACGTACAAGACATGTACACACACACAAACACATCAGTTGGAATGTTGTCAGACGTACAGAACACTGATCTGTCTGTTATTGCATGCATGCTCCATCAGTCATTGGGCGAAACAGGGAGGTCCTGTGCTCTTTGTTGTTGCTGTGTCTAGTCCCTTGTTAGAGAATTGATGACACTGTCTTTGGAAAACAAACAAGGCGGGAAGCTAAAAAGGTGGTCACTCACCACAGCTCTCTGACCCAGAGACACAGAGGCCACCTCAACATGCGAGCAGCGTCCCCCTTGGAATGTGCTGCAGTGTGTGTGTGCACACGCTCCTGTTGGTGTTTCACTGATACCGCGGCTGGAATGTGACTGTCTTGTGCCTGAATGTGTGCCTTTGTGTGTTTTAGTGTCAGCGTCCTTTAGTAACAATGGTAACCTGCGTGCAAAAAGGAAAACACTGCGATAAAAGACACTTTGTTGGCACTACCCTTTTTTTTTGTCATATTTGCATTGCGTTTCTGGATGCCAAAATAAATGTTCCACATATCAATGTCAGGGAAATGCTGAGAAGCTGCCTCTGAATGTTTGGCTGAATAACTCTCATTTATCTGGATGTGACACTCTCCCCCTGTGGGCACTGACTTGCCAGAGGCAGCTGCTGTCACTCCTTGCTCTGACTCACACTTCACATCACAGCAGACCGAGGTCCCGGGGCCTCCCCAGTACGTACACACCAAACCCTGCCCTGGGCCCCGAGCCCTTCTTCTGGGAGCTCAAATCCCATAATTGCAGGGCTGGGACAGTGATAAGCTAACATACAAGACACCCTCACCTGGTCGTAAAGAATGAAAACATCTACTGTCAAAGTGAAGTGAGGAGATGCGGTGGGGGTGGTATGGGGAAAAGTGAGTAACCTCTGGGGGAAAACATGAGGGCAAATAATAACTGAGTGTCAGTGATAACCAATGGACTAAATGCACCACTGGTTTCAGAACAGAATTCTCATTGATAGTAAATAAATAGTTTATACATGGTCTATGAATAAAAAGTTTGCGGGTGTGGGTTTACCACATTGTGCAAATACATTCATATTCATTTTTTGAAAGCATTTTTGTTTTGGCTTGCTCTTTGATTCATTAGGGAAACCACTAGTTTCTGTAATAAAACTTTGTTTTTAAATCAGTTTATTGGCAACTTTATGGCAAAAATGGCAAAATAACAAGCCTAACTGATTCTCAACCCTTAATAGTGTACTGAGCTATAAATAGTTCAAGATTTATTAACTCATATGAAAATTGTGTTTAAAATAGTATTCTTTTTTTTGGCCATTTTGGTGCACTGGAACAAGATGTAGTTAGTGTATAATCACTATGTAATTGTAAACGTCGCCTATTTAAATGTAGCAAGATAAGCACTTATTAAAATGTGTGTTTTCCGCTCCTCTGAGGACTGTGAATCCCATTTTGACTCTCTTTAGCTCTTTTGGTGTCCACCAACTACAATGATAAACCATCTGCCCCTTTAGCTGTTTAATGCTCTTCTGTTTCTTTCCACTTTGACATTGCCACCTCCACCTTACTGCATTAATGACATACTCAACAAGAGCTGTAAGCTAACATTTTAGCTGGTAGAAGTTTGAAGTTCATTTTACTACTTCATGTTTGTTCAGTACTTCAATCTAAGAAGATAGTACTGTCTTTTGTGGTTCCACCATCACTGACTTTATATATACACAAACTAGGTTAAACAATGCAGCAGCCCCTTCTTTCTCAGACAGGCCTCAGAACGGGCTGAGTCCTGCCTCCAGAAAAGCCAAAAAGCTTTCCAACAAACTCAGTCCTGGTCGGGGAGAGCCGGCTGGAGTGGCCCTCGTTTATCAAGCACTCAGCTCCTGCAGACAGAGCACAGAGGAGCCAGCGTGTTTACACCACAGCTCAGCAAGGCCCTCAGGACTGAACAGATGAAGATGCTCGCACATACTCATTTACACATCCCTCACACGCACTTACTCAAACTGTGTCGAGGCCGAGCATTCAGCTGTCTTTTCAGCAAGGAATCAAATTGACATTTATGATGGGGTGCACTGTTATCTTGTCTTGTCTATTTTGACTACACATTGAAGACATTACTATAGAAAAAAAACGACACTATCAGTGGTTGTTGTCCAGTGCCAGGTGATAACATCTTTATCGAGGCTGCTGCACCATCTTGTGGATATTCTTTGTATTGCAGTACAATCCTGAACCACCCACTTCCAACACTGGACGGTATAGTGATGTTACAGAGTCATTCATTGGTCAACAGCCCTGTACGTGTGTTTTCTCGAACTTTGACTTGACAGAGATCAGTGCTCTGATTGGCTTGGCAGACACATCTCGTTTTCTATTGGTTAATCCGCTCACGCCCACTTTACATCCTCCCATATCCAATTTGAAGGTGAAGTCCTCTGCTGTCCCGTTACATTTCACGGTAACCGTTTGTGTTATTGTCGCCACAGTCTCTCGGTAAAATTACAGCAGCATGTCGGTGTTTGGTGAGGTCGCTTTAGCAGCCCCCTGTAGCTGTATTCAAGCTATCACAGGATTTCAACAACGACCAATTTCCCAACAAGGTGAATCTTGGAGTAGGAGGTAAATTATTATGTAACTATACTTCTATAAACAGTGACATCGTTTGCCATAACTGTCTCCAGCCGGTTAAAGTAAGGTGGTGATAGGATGAATCAGGAATCACAAACCATTCTATGACCTGTTTATTATATCCATATGTATATGACATGCTGTATTTTGATAAAAGTTGCTAAATGATGATGTCTTGATGGTTTTAAAATAGTGACACAAATTCTAAAAGCTGTTACTATTCCAAAACTGTGACTCTCTAATACAGTATCGGAAAGGTTTATTCATTTTAAATATAGATTATATAATAGATGTATTGCTCTGACCGGCATACATGTATGCAGTGGCGTAAAGTAACTAAGTGCATTTACTCAAGTACTGTACTTAAGTATAATTTGGAGGTACTTGTAGGCTACTTGAGTATTTACATGTTACTACCCCTACCACAATTCAGAGGTAAATAGTGTACTTTCACCTCCACTACATTTATTTGATAGTTATAGTTCCCCTGCATATTTTTTATTTTGTATGCAAAGTATACATCAACTAATACATTATGATACATTTCAGGTTATTCTACCCAAGCAGTATACATAGTAATTCAATATAGCTTCATCTTTACTGACTACAATATTACATAAATATACTTTATCGTAGTGTCTCTAAAATGTCTGTTTCGGTGTGGACATTACGGCCCATGGGAGAAATTATAATGACATATTTAATCTTTTATTTTTTACTGTCACTGGTTTGTGGAGTAAATACAACTGATTGACCATGTTAGACCATGTTAGCTGCTGTTCAGTCATTCTACTCTAACTATACTGAAAGCAGCTTTATTGATAATGTATCCTTGTTATGTAAAAGTGGTGACATAGGGAATCATTTGTGCCTGTCCTCTTTGGTTTCCTCTTTGCTTTTCGATCTTGCTGCAGCTCTGATTGGATTACTGTTCCCTGTTGCTAGCTGCATGAGTTTAAGTATCTATGGTTTAGTCCTGCTTCTCTCCTGAAGCAAGCAAATGGCACATTTTAGACTTCAGTACAACTGTTTTCAGTGTTAATCTTATTAAAAGCAGTAATCCTTGCTGCTTACATTGCTAAGGACAAGTGTGAGAAGCATTGTTTGGCTCTGTTCTGGCAGTGTGTAATGTGTTCTGCAGGACGAGGCTGCCTGAGTCCTGTGATTAGGACCAGAGGCTGAAGCCTTATAATCCCTCTCTATGTAACACACAGATGGTCATCCGCTACTGGGGCAGCTGGGAAATGTAGGCCACACTATGTTTAGTGTGTTAAACGTCACTAGACACTAGATTACATGAATTGATCAATTCAACTGATGGAAAAGATAACATTAGATACACTTTTTTTTGATCCCAAATTGGAAGTTGTTTAGATAATCCAAAATAATATACCAATTGCATAGGTAATTATTATTATTATTATTATTATGAATTTTTTTAAAAGGTGAGGATTTGCTTCCTCTTCTTATAATAAACCTAAATATATCTGGGTTATGCAGACGTTGAATTAGATTTCAGAAACTCTATGATCTGCATTTTCTTGCATTTTAATAGACCCAAATAAACATGCCTTTTATGACGGTGGGAGAAAATAAAATTAATAAACTCCCATATGATGGTATAAGCCTGATACTTGTTTTTTGAGTTGCAAGCAAGTTGAAGATCTCTGTTCTGAAGATAACAAGGCAATAGTTCAGTCCTTATCAGGTGTTGACATGGAGTTCAGCTCACTAAAGCAAACAGAGAGATGAAAGTGCATGTCTGCTTTCCAGAGTCAGTGTTACATTCTTGTTATTTGAGCCAGGAAGATTGTCCTGCCTCAAACTTCATTATTGTTCCTATCTAAATATTCTGTTAGGCAATACATCAGGCCTCACTGTTTTCTTTCTTGCAGCTTACCGGACCAGACGAGGGAAAGCCATGGGTTTTGCCGGTGGTGAAAAGGTTTGAAAAGGTTATTGTGCACGATGACAGTCTTAACCATGAGTACTGCCCATCTTGGGCTGCCTGAATTCAGATCCTCAGCCCTCTAAGATCGCACTGGGAGGAAGACAGTCCTGCCATCCAGGAGAAACAGGGTTTGTATAGAGAAAGGCGCACTATCCTTTATTTTAAATATATTCAACGTATAAACGACGTCTGTTCTTTTTTGCCAGGTTGGGGCTGTCCAGTGTCTGGGTGGTACAGGGGCTCTGCAAGATGGGTGCAGAATTTCTCAGGCGTTTCTACAATGGAAACAACAACACCCAAAACACCCGTCTATGTGTCCTCACCTACCTGGGGTGTGCCCTACACACACACACACACACACACCACACACACACCCACACCACACACACACACACACACACACACACACACACACACACACACACACACACACACACACACACACACACACACACACACACAATCAAACAGTGGAGTGCAAAGAGTTCAGATGAACATGGGAAGTCCTCATTCAAGGACCTTTTGAAACCATACAGAGACTTTTATATACTCAATATAGACTTTAGACTCAGGATGTAGAGTACAGTGATGCGTCTTATCAGTGATCTTATTTAGTTTTCAGTTCCTCTGTGAAAATATTTTGTATTAACATATAAACAATACCAATTAGAACACTGGTGAAATAGTTTTTTCTCTCCATTTCAGAAAATCACAATGCTGTTTTTGCCATGCTGGCTTTGATGATGTCCGTCCATACAAGTACTGGGATGCAGAAAATAGGGGCCTTGATTTGGCTGGTTTCCTTGGAGACCTGGAGGTGAGCAGTGTGCAAAAGGATTTCTTGTTCTATTTCAGTTCAGCCATGAGTCATTTTTTTAGGAGTTTAAATCACTTCTTCTTATTTCCAACAGAGTTGTCCAGCACACTCTATCTTTGCCTGCATGCCTGTGCGCACAACCCAACTGGCACAGACCCGACACAGGAGCAATGGCAGCTGATCGCAGAAGTTATGATGGTATTAACACACACACACAAACACACACGCAACCAATACTATGTCTCTACTGCTGTCTTAACCTCCTTTTTGTACACGTGTGTCGATGCTGAACATTTATTACAGGATGATAATTGTTTGACCTTCTTTCTTTCCAGAGGAGGCAGCTGTTTGTGTTCTTCGACTCGGCTTATCAGGGTTTCGCCTCAGGCAATCTGGATAAAGATGCCTGGGCGGTCCGCTACTTTGTCTCCATGGGCTTTGAAATGTTCTGTGCTCAGTCTTTCTCCAAGAACTTTGGCCTCTACAGTGAGTGACCCCTGTGTGCATTAAGTTGTACATTGCCTGCTTTCAAGAGAGAGCGATAAAGAGTGATGTCTTTGTGCTGTTACTAATCACAATAACAGTCACAAAGTGCTTTATATGGCAACATGTTTATAGTGGAATTAAGGATAAGAGCCCAATTTAGATTGTGGTTATTATCATACCCCACAGCTCTCTTACTTTCAAACATGCAAAATATTGTACATGATCGACACAGCTTAATGTTCTCGTTTACTATGACAACAGCACAGTGGATGTTGTCAATGTTGAAAGTTGTAGAAAACAAGGGGGGTGGGGTTAAGTTATATAAGTATCAAATTGCTTATCTTTTAAGATTCTTAATCAATTCACAGCTTTAAAAAAAAAGAACCTATTTTCAATAATTTGCCTCTACCTTTACACCAAGTCAATTTTTGTGTGTTCTTGCAGTTAGTTCTATAGGAGTCTGCAAAGTGGACTTGTTGAGTAAATCCTGAAATTCGCAACCCTATGTAATGAATTGAGAATCATTTAGAAATCAAATTGTGACCCCAAGAATCACGATCAAATTCTGAGATTTCAAAAGATTCACATGTGTGACATGTGTGTTGCAAACAGATGAGCGTGTGGGCAACCTGACCATCGTTGATCATGATGCAGACAACCTGAAGCGAGTGCTGTCCCAGATGGAGAAGATTGTGAGGACCACCTGGTCCAACCCACCCTCTTCAGGGGGCTCGCATTGTTGCCCTCACTCTTACCTCACCTGAGCTCTTCAGCGAATGGTCCGTACAAAATACCAAAGCACTGTATGAGGTATAACGGTTTATAAACTAACTGTATTATTTTGATATAGAGTTGTTTTTTTACATTTGTTTGAGTGTAGGAAGGACAATGTGAAGACCATGGCTGACAGGGTCCTGTTGATGAGGGCTCAGCTGAAGCTAGCTCCAAGCTCTGGGGACAGCAGGGCACCTGGGACCACATCACAGAGCAGAATCGGCATGTTCAGCTTCACAGGCCTCAACCGTGAGTAAACATTGTTTAAGTTCGGAAAATGTTAAGATAACAAACACCTTTATCTATCGGGTACATTCAAGAAAACACATGTAGAGGACCAAACGTATCCCGAATGTATCTCCTTTTTGCAAAACTCAAAAGAGCTTGCATTATATCATTCTTTTGATTAACACACATATCTTACAGGCTCTGCAAAGTGTCACATTATTAATCAATGAATAATTAAATGTGGTTATTTCCTGCAGCCAAACAAGTGGAGTACATGGTGAAGGAGAGACACATCTACCTGATGGCCAGTGGGCGCATCAACATGTGTGGTTTGACCTCCAAGACATAGACTACGTGGCAGAGTCCATCCATGAGACTGTCACCAATGTCCAGTAAAAGACTACACTACCCACAGTTCTTAGTACTTCCTCCATTCCGACCTCAAGTCACCTGATTACAGGGAAAGTATTACTGTCTAGCTGCTTTCTTAGGGCGATCATACATTCTCATTTGCACAAATATACAGACAGCCCTCACCTTCTATCGTGTTTGTGCTAAGCTATCTCAACACACAATTGGGACTTATTCCGTAAATTATTGTCCACTAGTTGTCTTTATGTTGGTCTCCTACTTATAATAAGTCTATCTTACTTTCAGTGTATGCGTCACCACTCAGGACCTTTCGAGAAGGTTGGTACATCTGTGACTGTGTGACAATTATCTAAGCAGTGCTGACTCAACTTCTTGTTTAATGTCATACTGCTATGATTCATTCATTCCAAGTGTTGATAACGCATTTCCAATTTTATTTAACCTGCCGTTATTAGCCTGTGTGATTACAGTTAAGAGCACCTACCAAACTGACTAAATGTAGCTTCAATTAGACAAACAAATTATAGTAAATGTATTTATGTTTCTCTATCACGACGTGAAGAGGTACGTTTTAATGATAGATGCAACATGAAACAAGAGAAGAGTGTTCTCAGGAAGATATCTTGAGCAATGTCATTTATTAATTAAACTGTACATCGCCGAAAGGGGTTTAGTACTAATTACCTCAATTATAATCCGTATTTTTGAAGTGTTTTATTTGTAGTTTCTGCTCAGTTAGCACAATGGCACTGAATTATCTGAACAGGTTTTGAGAGTCATCCCTGGTTTGGGCTCACAGCTGAAGGTTGTGAGGCTTCTGGTTTTAAATCAGGCACCTGCAGGTTTAATGTTGAGTTTTGCACAGCGGACTGCCTGTTTGTATCAATAGTGCACTGTTATGTAATACCCTCATGTCAGTGGCACAAACACACTAATGTATCAACCAGTTTGCTATCGTATCACTGTGCACAGTACAGCAAATAAGCAGTCCTACTGTTTTAGCAATTGAAGCAAAACATCTCCTTACATACTTTCCAATGAGATGAATGTGTTAATCTAATAAAGAACTATAACACTATTATGTTTGTTTTGTCACATATGTTGGAATTGATTTAATGATAATGTTTGTATAAATGCAACGGCCTTTAGAAACCCATGTGAGAGGTCTTCGAAAAATCTAATGCAGGTAACACAACTCCATATTCGAAACAAAGACAGAGTACACAAGAATAATATTTCAGTCCATTATTAATAATTTGAAATCCTTTTTGTCGAACATTATGGTATGTCTTCTCATGTATTTGGTCACTTATCTAATTATCAGATGTTTACATTAGCAAATGTATCTTTGCCTTTTTTTAATAAAGTATAATTCTTCACAAATATAAATCAGTGTTAAACAACTGCAAAATCTCTGTGAGCATTCAGCTGAGACACTTTCTGATTCACACAAATCCTCTTTCACTGAGTCAGTCTGTCGGATCAAATGACTTCCTATTGGATGTTCAGTGTGCAAAGAGGGGTCGATGTGAATAGCTTAGCAGTGCAGTTACCTTTGTACTCATAAAGCCTTGTGTGTGTGTCTGTGTCAGTGTGTTTGACGGGAGGTGGTGGCTTGACGTCAGTGTGCGTCATATTGCTTTCCTCTTTCATATCTCTGTCTTGTTCTTGCGTACCTGCCAATATTTCACAACGCAGAGCAGCTTAGTGCAGTCTGAGCTGCAGCTGCTACTGGCATTTTGAAAAGGATCAAATCATTATTTCATTATTGCGGTAATAGATGATTTCTAGAAAAATGGCTTGATTTTTGTTCCTTCAACAAGCAGCGTTGTATGGTTTGCACCTAACTTTTTTTCTCAACTTTTGTAGTTTTAAAACTTCTATTATCTCAAAGATTGTTAGTAGTACACACTGCACCTTTGTGGGGAAATATTACTGCCAGATCTCCTTTGCATGCATCCCCTTGCTTAAGCAATGCATATGGAAAACAGGGCTTTTCTACAGGGGATAGTTCTACAGTAAAAGCAGCATTACAAACATGCAGGTAGCAACTACTCTTCTCTCGAGAATAACATCCATTTTGGATCCCTAAACGCAAACCCCCCTACCCCTAGCTTATTTGAAATTTGGTGTTTGCTGTTAAAGTGAGGTGAATGTACATAGAGGATTGGCTAATGGTAATGGTAAGAGTTGATCGCCATACTTGTTCTGAATGCCAAGAAACAATAGGCTGATTATTTGAAGACGGTGGTTACATCGAGAGAAAAGGGGGCTTAGTAAGGATGATAAAGACGTTGTTGTCCATACACTATGCAGTGAGAAGGGAACGTTTTCATGGGAGGACAGACACTACAGTATAGGGCACATGCAATAATGTGTGATGTTGAAGCCATTTACAGTATGTTAGATGACTTATATTGCTATCTTCCAATTACTTTTGGTTAATTCTAAAACTTTTTATATAAAATCGGGTAATAACTGCGTTTTATTTCAAGCTCAGGTATTTTTCAAAATTGCGCATACCCCTTTGAACTTGCTCAGAGGTCAGTGTATACAATAATTCAAGCTGATTTATGGCTTTTTTCATAATTGTGTTCTTAAAATCTGGCATAAAACGGTTGCTCTTGTCTTGTGGCTGTTTCTTCATAGCCGATGGCTAGTGTGTATGGTATTGTTGGCAGTATGTGGCACCCTTATGGCAACATTAGGAAAGTTCCCCTGTGCAAACAAACTTTATCAGTATGGGGAAACTTCCTCATAATAACAAATAAATAATAAAACTCTTGTATTCATTGGTCTGATCAAGTAAAGCTGGCTCAGATATTAGATAGATAGATAGATCGTACTTTATGATCCCAAATTGGGAAATTGTTTTTTTACATGAGGACCTTGTGAGGCTCCATATTGAGAGATCTGGTGGAGGACCATACTGTATGGCTTAAATGAGATGATAAAATTGTCACATTATGGGTAAGCTACCATAAAAATATCTTCTCGGTCACTACTTGAAAACCTTGATAAAGTCCAGTTGTAAGGCTGGAAAATCCAATACTATATTTCTTCGATTTTTCCAAAAGTAAATTATATTAAAGTTTTTTTTACAGATCTGTTCCACTTATTATATTGTAAGGGTGTGGAGTCAGGCAGTGGTAGTGGACTATGTGCGAGTGGGGTCCTGAGTGTTTCTACATCTCATGAGATGGCTCAGTTGTTCAGGAGCACAGAGGGAGTCTATGAGAGGTGGTTGTTCAGTAATGAAAACCCAATGAGTGAGTGATAAAGAGGAAGAAGCTTCATCCCTCTTCCTCAGCGTCACTGTGCTAGCTCGTCACCTGGCGGTTGCGCTGAACCTTCCTCCAAACAGTTTTCTCCATCCCGAGACTTTTTTCCTCCTCTTGTCACCTAGAAACAGGAGGGACCAAGGTCATTTTTTGCTGATAAAACACCTTCCTTTAAACTGTAGCTTAATCCATTATATCTCTGCTTCCTTATCTTTACATTTGCTATACATTGATTGTTTTTAAACAAACTCATATTTGCCGTTAACTTAAATAACGTCAGCTGCATCAGGCAGCGCAGATACTGCCTTGATGAGTCATATCTAGACCAACAGATGCATCCGGAGAATCTGCTCTGCTAAAAAAGGTTGGAGCGAGGGACATGACACATCACCTGTTGCTAAGATACACCACTTTGTCTGAAAGAGAAGTTTGGGCACATCTGACGGTGAGTGTGTGTGTGGGTGTGTGCTCTTCCATCGATGTTGGTGACAAATGTCTTACTCACTCAATTTATGCAATAGCTTCTTCCCAATGTTCTCCTCCGAGCTGGACAGAGACAGAGAGCTGATGAAGGGAGAGGCAGAGGGCGGGGACTCTGTAGGCACGTCTGAAAGAGAGGATGAGGATAAAGAGGGGATACAGCAGGAATGACAGACAGCAGATTGGCTAGAACAGTTCCCCAGACCTACAATTATATGAACAGTTTACAGCCTAGACGTTAAAATATAAAAACTGCATTGTTAGGAAAACTGGTTTAGAGTAAGCAGACTGTGATAACAAGGAGGAAACGCCTCCTTCTGTAATAAAACCATTAAATCTGACATGCTAAAATTAAGTGTAGTAGTGAAGAAGAAGTACGGTAAGTAGTCATAAACTCAGCAATGTGACTCTGTAATGTGTGTTACACAGCAATACATCTAAAGTGTATATAATGTAGTATAATATTACCTCCCTATAGGGCTTTTGGTCCACTTAAGGTACCCAGGATTCAGACACTTATTCCTGGGTTGCTAAGCCAGGAGCTGCATGCTGCTGTCTGTGTCTGTGTCCTGATTTAAAACAGTTCCCCCCCCACTTTTAACACTAATGTACCATGTTTTTGAACACTTTTCCCTGGGTAAATATGTTATCATAATCACCCTGGGTGTGTGAGTCAGTGAACCGACACTTAAAACCTCCTGAATTAAAACATTTTGCCCTTATTTGACCCTAATGTACCCACGTTTGAAACCCCTTTTCCTGCCTTAAAAAAGTCAGCCATCGTGCGGAAGTTTGTCCAATGGCACGAAGCGTTATTTTGGGTTCAAAAATAGGAAGGTGCTGCCGTCTGGTTCTCTCTCCCAGTACTAGTTAATTCCACTATTTCCACACACTTTTCCTTTAGGCCTGACATCCCATTTTCCATCGTGCGGAAAGTTGTTCAATTGGCACAAAGCATCCCGAGTTATTTGTGTCCAAAATAGGGAGTTTCCCTAACTTGCATAAGCAAATATAATTAAATAATTAAAGCTTGTAGCAGCTTAATGAGAAAAAATGTGTTGCATGTGGATTAAACTTTAATTTGGAAAAGGGAGAAGGGGCTATATCTTCATTAGAATGTTTCAGAATTATTTTATGAGGCTAAATTGCACTGCCTTAAAGGGATATTTCACTATTTCTCATTAAAAGAAATGAGTAACGAATTGTCTATGCAACCTTTTTTAACCGTTTCAGTCAATGTAATATCTCTATAGGAACCAACTACGCGTCATTTTTGAGTTTTATTAACTGAGGACTGAAGAGATTCAGTTTCTGAGCTTGTCTCCTCCAGGTCAGGATCCATGCAGCAGCACTCACCATTCTCTCCATACGTTTCCGGCCGATCCTCGTGGATGTAGGGAATCTCGTCCAAGCGGAGGAACACGGTATCATTTGGACTCCTCTGCCCGTCAGATTTGCTGCCTGTAAAGAGAATTGGACCAATCAGCCTTCAACGTACTACAGGTATCCAAATAACAGCAGCTGGTTTGTAGCTCTGCCTGTAGAGGGAGGTAGAGAACTTGCTATTTATCAGTCGTTGTGTTAATGCAGATCCAGCGAGCTACAGCCAGTGGAGGAGATTTAATTGGTGAAATAAGATTGAACATAAAACCTGGCTGTTTATAACTGGATGCTGCTGCTTTATTGACAACCAACAGAGCCATCTGTGCAGTGTTTTTTTTTAATGACACAACACCAACACACACAAACTGGGTGGCGTGTTGCTCAGTGCGAGACAGATGGTATACAGGAAATCCTTTAAGCTTTGAAACCAGTACAGATTGGTTGATGCCACGTTTGCACCCAGTGTGAATGAGTCATTATCAAACATATAGAATTCATTATTTTACTGATGTTAAAATATAAAAAGTAATAATTAAACCTACTATTTTGACAATATGCTGTGTGTAGCATTCAAGCTAATTGTCATAAATTAAATCTGATATATATATTTTTTTTAAATGTCTTGTGGGGCTCTTTTTACAGAATGTATCATTCATTCGACACGCCAGTCAACACATCATTAATTTTCAGGTTGCCCCTGACCCGAGTATCCCACATTTAAGTGAATCATGTATTGCTCCTTTCAGGCAGGTGTTTGGCTCCTAGCCCACCACATCACTTCCAATCAGTGTGATAGATCCTCTGAACCTCCTTTTTTCTCCCTCTTCAAAAGAAACGCCACCACTCCAATGAATCCTGACCTTCATCGTGAGCTTTATTGAGCTCAATCTTCATTTACATTTCAGAGCTCTGGTGTTTCTTTTATCCAGAGTGATGGCAATGTCGTGTACTAAAAGATTGCATCCCACACATTGAAATGTGAAGGATATAAGAAGTGGAAGCTAAAATGGAAATTAGCATTTGAGGTATTTTGCTAATAGTCATTTGATATGTGGATTAAAGGTGGGGTAGGTAATTTTGGAGAAACCAGCTCGAGATCGCTAGAATTTGAAAATACACAGCCGGAAAAAATCTGCCACTTCCTTACAGAGCCCCTCCTCCAACACACACGAATGCGCACATGACCAATGAGGGCACGAGATAAGTTTGTGCACAGATGGAAGTGTGACAGGCAGGTAGGCCACGACCAATCATTTTAGCCGGGCCGGCTAAAATGATTGGTCGTGCTTTTTACAGTACTACGGCTTCCACATGAAATTTTTTTATGGATTTTTTATGTAAAGCACTTAAGATATTCATTGCTATCGGGATGTTAAGAGCATTCCATGGAATATAACAAAAAGTGTATCTCGAGCCGGTTTCTCAAACTTACCTACCCCACCTTTAAGGCAGTCACTAGGTGATATTTTCTGTCAATCTTCATGCTAGACCAAATTGTCACAAAGTGTTTTCTTTAGAATTTTCATTCTTGCATCAAACAATCTCTAAAATAGCATTGAAACATAAAAAGGATAATTAATAGAGAAAGTAAATGAATTTTGGGTGAAATTGACCCAACACTCTAATGAAACATTTTCAAGATTCAAATCGTACAAGAGTGTACTTACGAACAATTCGGTTCCTCGCATTGAGCTGGGAGGTGTTGCGAAGGCCACCGTGGGGATGGAGATGTGCAAGGCGGGCCAGCCCCAGCCGAGTGTGTGTGTGTGTGAGGGGGAGGGCGATGCTGTGTGAGCGGACCTCTGGGACCGCAGGCCTCCCTTTAGCATCAGGATCAAGGGGGTCTGGAGTCTGAGGGGAGCTGTCCATCCTGGTGGCTGTGAGGGCGTTCTGGTAGTGGTTCCTGGTGATCTGTGGGGAACAAAAATCTAGTATTAGCTTCAGTGGCGGGAGGAAACATGGACTGTATTGCAGAAAGGGGAGGAGAGGTGAAACGAGAGGGCATAACCACCATTTAGGGCTAAAATATTCATGGTTGAAAAGGAGCTCAATTATCCCCAGTGATTAAAGGAGAGAGGGTGTGTGGAGGGGCGAGCGAGAGACAGGATGTCTGTGTTCAGTCAGAATCAGGGATTAGGACATTTCAAAGGCACACACTGCAGCAGAGGAAGAGTTTCTGGGTTAAAAGTGCAGTTCCTTGCTTTTGCTCCAAATGTTCTGTGCAGGAAATGATACATTTGATTGAGATTATTATACCAGCAATTGATGTTTTTTTTTGTTTCTGTTTTGTGTGCGTGTAGCTGTTCATGTTTGTAACCTTGATGATCTGCAGGTCTGTTAGCTGTCGGACTGAGTAGTCTGGCAAGTAGACCCCCCCTCCTGTAGTGAGCTGACCCGCACTGCCTCCACTCAGCAGTGATTCTGATTGGTTCAGACCACTGCCCCGGGAACTATATCTCCGACCTGAAAAGGACAAGAGGGAACCATGCTTTTAGTTATGCGTTTCAAACATACGTCATCGCTATTACAAAACAAAACAGTGAGGTCAAAGGGTACAAAAACAGTTAACACGTCAAAAATCCTATAAATCCTGCTTCATTCATTATCTATAGTCTTTTTTTCTTATATACTTTAAGGTGCCTCTTTTTGAGTGGGCTTATGTTACTTTTAAATAAAGCTATAAGAAAGCAGGGGAAATGTTGGCAGCAACTAAGACCTCCAAAGAAAATATATTTTAAAAGATGATGTGTGGTGTGAGACATAAAAGTACTTTGTGTGCAGTTGTGACGTAGGTCCTTTTTATTTGCTTATATTATTCTCTTTGAGCTGAGCACTGCCTCGCTGAGTGGCATAACAGGCTGTCAGAGAGCGAGAGAGAGAGCAAGTTTTAAAAAAAGATGAAAGACCAGCTCTTTTGAGCTGCCATACTTCTTCAGCTGCTTAAGAGAACATTTCAGCTTTGTAATGCCCTTGAAGGGAATTTTCTCAAATGTAATGGGGTCTTCCAAATTGCTTTAAGCTCACCCTGAACATCACACATGGAAAACATGCAAAACAACCACAGCAAGAAAACAGAGGGAGAGCGATTGGGAGACAGGCTTTCTGCTGGCTCTGCAGTTCTTAGCAGGATTTTCATATAATCCTGTGCAGGTCATGTCCTTCCACTGGGAAATTCTCTGAAATCCACTTCTTTTAATTACTTACTTCCCACGGCTGCTGCTGCTCTTGCAGGCTGACGCTATACAGATAAGAAGCTGGGTGGGATTTAGACTGCAAAAACATGTCCAGCCCTGCATTAGTTCTATGATTATTATTCCTGAACTGTCATTACCACCAGTCTCATGGTAATATTGATCTGTATTGCTTGATTTGTACTTACCAATAGGCAGGGGCATGATGACTGCTGGCATGCCCATAATGTGAAAAGCTCCATTTTCAAAGTGAAGAGCCTCCTTTCCGATTTCTACCCTCCACCCGTCCCTGTAAGATCCACACAACAATTTACATACATTAGCATGATGCTCATGGTAGGACATTGATTACTCATGTAATGGAGCCTCCCACACAGGAAATGAAACACTGTAATTATAACATCCAGATACGGAGTGATATTGTTTCATAATTCTTCTGCAACATCTGTTAGTAGGAGGTTGTTGGCATTAGTATTATTATCTGGCATAGAGATGGTGATATTTACCTGCAGAACGAGGACAAAGTAGTCCACAGGTTTGTTTCTCGTGAAGAGGTAGTGTTGAGGAGCGTGTTTGTTCTTGGGGTTGAACTTGAGTTCCTGCACAACGCTGGGATGTTTGATGAGACGCAGCAAGATCTTGTCTGACAGGAGACACGGCCTAAAAGGCTCCACCTCTATAAGATAGATACATATAGACACACGCACACGCACACGCACACGCACACGCACACGCACACGCACACACACACACACACACAAAAAGAACATCAGTTTCCCAGTCACCTTGTCCTCAGTTTATCCTGCAATCCACTGTGGGCACCCACGAATGCTCGGCATACACTGCATGCACACATCCTGAAACACATGTACGCTGTTACCGTTGCCAAGAAGCGGTGTGTGCGAGCAGCCAGCTGGGGTGAGATCTTCACCTTCAGCTCATTTTCTGCCAGTTTGAAAATGGAGAAATCCTGTGGTTTCCTCTCCTGGTGGGACACTCGCCTTTTGGTCCGATTAGCAGCTATAATTAGAATCAGAATCAAGTTTATTGCCAGGTAGGTTTACACATACAAGGAATTTGCTTTGGTGTGTGAACATAAACAATCAAAAAATATAAGTTGCAAAGTAGGTAAAAAAAAGAAATATATAAAAGAAATAAAATAATGTGTATTTTTACAAAACAATTTAGCATAGAAAAGGATGCTAAAGACAAGTATTTACACCAAATGTAAATGTATATACAAATAACCTTAAAAGCTAAAAAACTCAAACACTTAGGACAATGAGTATATAATGATGGCAAACTACAGTGTATTATATTTTAAAGTGGAGGGCTGTGCAAAAAGCAGACAGATTGCAAATCCTTAAATGCACGGTATGCAGTTCAGATTTCACATTGTTTTATATACTCTATCAATAGATGAAATGAAATGTGTCACTCATTCACTCGTTACGTTTGCCTAACACTGTAGTTATGCTTTACAGTATACAGTATTCTTGCTGGCACTACAAGGAATTAGAAGCTACTTTAAGTTGCCCCTGACCTCATTAGTTGATGCCACTAACAAACGCTACAAATATATTCGTTGGATCATCTATCCCCAGCTGCAGATTGCTTGATATTATCAGCACTCATTGATGAATTGACTATTCTCAGCAGACGCCAGAAGCATTAAATTGGCATTATACCGCATTAAATACATTGTAGCTGTAGCAGGAAAAACAAGCTGGTGCAAGTGAGCCTGGAGTGCCAAGTCTGGAGAGTTGAGCTCCCCTGTTATAAATATACACACACATCATTATGCACAAGGGGACACACAGAAGAAAAGGAGTTTATGAAGTGCATCCCTGGACTGTTTTACACACTCTGCATGTAATTAAAATGGCAGCGCACATAAAATGTCATGGTCAGGGCTTATTTTATGGAAGTTATTCTCCCAAAGTTGAGTAGTAACTTCAGTGAGTAAAATGAAAGCACCGATCTGATTAGAAATATAATGAGGGAGTTTGACATTTGACTTCCTTCTGTGGAGAGAGCCTTGCGAGCCAATTCAGATGAGCGGATTAAAGAGATTATCTGTGGGACTGGGCCATTTACTCTCATTATTTAATTATGCAGCAGCGCGGAGCTGTGAGCAGCAGGGGAGACAACTGGGATCAATTAGTTAATAAGAAGCAGGATAGGAGAGAGGTGGAAAGGACATTCAATGTGCTTTAAAAGCTTAAATCCACATTTTAATAACCCATCAAATGGTATTAGATGGTGCATTAGTTGTTGACGACATTTTCATGCGATATTGCAGACCACACAGCTGAATAAACTCTGTCAGTGGTTGTGCAAACTGAGGGAAAATCTATTCAGTGTGGGAGCTGGAAATATAATTAAATGGATTCAAGCTAATGTAACAGTGACCCAGAGATTCACAATCCGCGTGTTTTTTATGCTTCATACGTACTAAACAGGTCTGTCTCCATCCACAATCTCAGACTTGATGATCTTCCTCTATGACGTCCTCCAGGGTGACGATGCCCATCACTTCATAGAAGGGGTCTCCTTCACCTTCGCTGTTCACCCTCTGCACCACGGACAGGTGGGACTTCCCTGCATTGGTCAAAAGAGAAACGGGGTGAGTTCAACTGTTTTCACAACGTGAGTTCAAACTAGCGGCTACTGGATAAAAAGAACACAAGCCTCCAACCGGATGTGGGCAGTCAAGAGGAAAATGAATACTAGAGCTGAGAGGCCATACATACTGGTAAATCTATTTTCAGTATTAAATTATTCCAATGTCAGGACTTCACTTGTGTGTGTGAGTGTGAGACTAGAAGAAAGTGGGCTTTGGGGGATTATTCTGGAGACAGTTTGACAGTTTGGAAGACTTGGGCCCCTTACGTAAACACAGATTATGCAATCAGTCTGGGGATGCCTGCGTCTGCTGACTAAACTGCCCATGCCTCTGCCACTCCCTGTAAACACACACCAACATACACACACGTTACACATCCATGAGCGGACCCAGCGCTCCCTCTCAGGCAGAGTTAGGCTGAACATGACAAGCCTGCCAGATACAATGACACAGCTCGCCAACAGCCTCTCCAGTCAACGAGTCAATAAAACGGATGTGACAAGAAGTTAAAGGTGCCATCACACTCCAACATCACCAGGAGAGAAGAACAAATTAACATGAACACATCAACCATCACACTATTAGTTGTTATATAAGATAATATAAAACTATTATAATGCTCAATGTATTTAACGTTTTCATCATGACCGTCACTGTCACTATTCTTCTTACGTCATATAAGTTATCTAACCGAGTGTATGACGTCACTACACAGATTTCAACAATCTCCAACCTTACTTTGAACTAAATCAGTGGCTCATAGTAGACGGGACGATTTAGGTGGGATCACTGCCAGGGGATAAAATAGATCAAACGCTTTAATCCACTGCAACAAGACAAAAAAAAACCTGATTGACCGACATGCAGCCATCTCCAAACATGAAACTCTGGCTGAGATGACGCGGATGTACTCAGGGATAAGGTCAACTTGTCTGAAAAGCTCAGGTGAGTCAGTGAAGTGGATTTGCCATCAGCTGCTGATGTGCCTGGGCACTGCATTACATCATTCACATGTTACATAATACTCCAACAGAACGACACACACACATTCACCAGACTCACACACGCAGACACAATGCCCGTGGCTAGCATGGATGTCACTTTTGCGAATGTTTCTGCTCCGGCAGTTTCCCAGGCTCCTCCAGTCTCTGTGTTGTTCATAATAATAATAATCAAATAAAGATCATAATGCTTAATATGTTAGCATACAATTGTGTACTTGCTGTCTGGCATTCTGCAAACATTACACAAACAATACTATGTATGGAAATGATATTATTTATATTTATGCAGCTTTTTTTTATCATGTTTCGAACACATGCACACACAACAGTTTACGCATTAATTTAGCTGATAGCAACTACAATGGCTGCCTATGATTTGTTGTGTGTTCACCTACATTTATTTTGTGTATTGTTTAACAAGGTAAATGGTTTCTATAGTCGATTTTTATGCAGTGGTCAAAAGTTCTCAATACATTTGCTAAAATGCTGCTCTTAAATCAAATGTTGGGTACTACTACACTTCTACTCCACTTCAGCTTGAATGAATACCATTTGGTTGGATACATTCTGTCCGGATAAAGATTTTACCTTCAAAACATCTGATCAGCTTATCAAATGTGCAAAAATAGTGTTATTGATTAAGCTGTCAAACAGTGTACTAAGTAGTTACAATGAGCACCTTAACTACATCAATGCATTCATATGTAATATCAAATTGCATTATACCGACAGGGGCCAATCTGCACTACTTTGATACTTAAATGACATTTTCTGGCTTATACTGACAATTCACAATGTAGTACTTTGCTTTAAACATTGTTTTATGGTTTTATTGTTTCAGTAATGTATTCTTCTTTCTCTGTCTCTCTATGCACCACTTATACCAGCGTAAACCAAATTCCTGTAAACCTACTTGGTAATAAAACTGATTCTGATTCTTGCCTTGCTGTCGCTACTTTGCATTACCTGAATACTCTAACATATTAAAATATTAATAGCAGATTTTGGGTTGCTCATAAAAGCATTGCTTGCCATATAAAGGTTCATATTTACACTGTAGAGCACATTCGCAGTCATCCCTTACATTTCTTTCATTACTGCTGACATTTCCGTCCTTTCCTCTAACACGAACCTCACCCCAGCCCCCCACCCTCCTCAGTGGGATGCCCCCATGCTCCCAGCCAGGCTTCCTGACAGCAGGAGCCTTTTTAATCCATGAGAGAAAAGTAGGAAGGAGGCAAGAGGGGTCAAAGAAAAGGTTGGAGATGAATTTTTCATGGTTGCTCGGCAGGTTTGGAAGGCGACGACCCACAGAGAGAAGGAAGCTTCAAAGTCACCGCGGGCTGACAGTTCGGAGCGCACAAACATTTTAAAGGTGAAGCCTGCTTTCACCTTTGAGCCTATCTATAAATAACACACAATATGGCAACACACAGGGTCAGGCAGGGGCCCATGGATCACTTGTGTCAGACTGAAGCTATCCTTCATAATCCTGAGAAAAATAAAGCTGTAGACCTCCTGGCCTGTAAGTGGCAATCTAATTTATGATCCTGCCAAAGTCACCACAGTGTCACCTTTCACTTTCTCATTTGACAACTGCTGCCTCTGCGCTCCAACCCACATCTATTGAGCTCTCTTTGTCAATGAAGCAGATTTACATCTTAATCCCCCCCCCCAACATAAGCCAATGTCAGTGAAGTCCTTACATAACAGTCGTCCCTGTAGCCTGTCATATGTCTCCATTTTACCTTGTGACAGCGTCAGTGGGACAGTTTAAGCTATAGGGCATTGGTACAGAATCATATTCAACGTTATCATCAAGACTGGATGAGGAAAGGTTGCACACTTGGTAAACGGATGCTATCAGCATGTGTATGAGGGACTGCAATACTGTGAAAGCACTCGCTAAAGAGTCTTATCAGACAAAAGATGTGTGAGTCAGAGGGATAGACATGATATTCATTGCCTCTACTGACATTTGAGGAAGCTGGTCCGTTTGCTTGATTCCTTTTTGAAATTAAAGTGTATATTTGATAACTGATACACATGGCATAGTATATAAAGAGGAAGCCAGCATGAGGGTGGGGGCAGATAAAGTTCAAAGTGATGTTGACATGGGGGAAACCACTTTCACTACATAAATTCTTAAGATAAACCCATTCTGGTCTTTGGCAGCCTCTAACTCCTGGCTGACCCAAACTCACTGTGTGACACTGTATCAGATTTCACATATGGCTCTCACTGCTCTGGGGATCAAAAGGATTCTCTGGCAGGCCCACTGTGAGCCAATGATGTGATGTATACATTGACTTCTGCACTGAAAACATAGTATTTAAGTGCACACTCACTTCAAAAGACATCTAACTCCTAGGTGGCAGGAGGCAACCTTGAGACTGTTCCAAAACCAACATATGGCGCCTCACACACTCATAACTGACTGCTTGGCCAAAAGTTATAAGTTCTTGACATGTAAAAACAAAGGACACGCCTCCCTCCTGCAGAGCACTTCTGAGGCCTGACCTCTGAAATGATTTAAAGTGGAGTTACCTCTCTTAAATTCCTCTAGCATCACATCCAACTTGGTGTCATTGAACACGCTGTGCATGGGATGCTTGTAAAACTGAGTGATAGTTTTTAGGGGAGTGCAATCGTCAGGATCCACGAAGGCCAAGTCTTTCACAAACAGGATGTCCACTATGTTGGACTTCTCGTTCTCGTAGACCGGGATCCGGGTGAAGCCGCTCTGCATCACGTCCGACATGGTGCAGAAGTCCAGGACAGCGTCCGAGGACAGCATGTAGCAGTCAGAGAGTGGGGTCAGCACGTCCTCTACGGTTTTGTTCCTCAGCTCCAGGGCCCCCTGGATGATGTTCAGCTCCTCTTTAACCAGGTCGTGGTACGGATCTGTGACGCGCAGCATGGCCACCAACTTCTCCCTGGTGTAAAAGTTGCTGATCTCTTGGTGCAGCATGATGTCCAGGATCTTGGAGACTGGATATGCGATGGGGAAAAACACCAGCATCAGCAGGCGGGTCGCGCAGAGGGTCTTTGAGGCGATGGCGAGACTGTGCCTTGACGCCAGGGAGTGAGGTAAAATCTCTCCAAAGAAGAATATTCCCAAAGTGCATGAGGCTGTTGAGAGAGCAGTCAATCCTAAAATCTGGCACATCCACACCACAAAGCATGTATTTGTAAGCACGTTTCCCAACACCACGGTGCAAAGGATGTAGTTTCCATGTTTACGCACTGACTCTATCTTCCGTGCATATTTCTGCTCCTTCTCTGTGCCACTATTCTGCAGGACCCTCAGCTCCACGGGGTCCAGAGCCAGCATGCTGATGTTCAACCCGCTGCAGAGGGCAGACAGTCCTATCAAGAGCACCGAAACACCCGCCTGGAGCCAAACATCTGCCTCCGGAGGTCTCTCCACCACCGCCAACCAGAAGTCTTTGGTGGTGAAATGTTCCCATTTCACTCCATCAAATGCGCACATGGAGTAGTATTTGATGAGCTCGCCTCTGCGCAGGTCTTTAGCGAGCAGCTCCACCAAAACTGAGTTGTGACTTGATGTGGATCTGAAAGAGCCCAGCAACTCGATGTCAGAGCTCCGGGCATCCTCGTCCTCGCACGGATTCCCTGTGGACCTGTCCTTCTCCGTGTCCCCACTGTCCCCCCCTGCTTCCTCTATAAACGCGATCCACGGAGCGGCAGGAGCAGCGTCAGGTCTGCCGCTGATGTTCAGGCTGTTGGGATGCTCCGTAGCAGGGGCTGCGGAGTAGTAGACCCTCAGTATGAAGCGGGTCCCCTCGATCGCCCTCAGTATCCCATCCTGGACGGACAGCTCCCCGCTCTGGGTGTCCTCCGGCCGGACACCGAGCAGCGCTGCTGTGGGGGCCGGCAGAGAGGAGAGGGTGACGGTGAGGAAGAGGAGAGAGAGCCGGTGCGGATGCAGGATGCAGCCGAGAGCATCCGCAGCATCCGCAGCCATCATGCTGAATGAACTACTGAAGGACATGGGAGAACTGGGTCACGTGGTCTGCGGATGGGATACGAGCAGCTGGGTGGCCATATCCATGCAGAGGAGCATGGGCACGTTACAGGGAGAGAGAGAGGAGTCCTTAAATATACATGACAAACCGTGACGTAGGCCTGTCTTATTTGCTTTCTGCTACTTTCTAAAAATAGACAGCAGGAAATGCCCAGCCATGTATAATTAATATAATACACACGAGACCCACAGTTGTAGAATCCGCTTCATAGACAAAAATACAACACATTTCCACAAATAGTAAGGCCAACAATTAAACCATGATAAGGAAATTATTAAAGGCTCACCCAAATCTGTTTTTTTTTTAGATGACATGAGATATCGCAGTGTTTAAGGACCAGAATGCTTTTTCGTTTTTGTTTCTTTACTGTTTTAGTGTGTCCACTAGATGGCAGTATTATCCCCTATTTCATTGCAGTCTATTCTGAAAGGTAACTGAAACTTTCAGACTAATGTTAATACACGGGGTATTGTGCCTGGATTTATTTCATAGTCATAAAATATCGGTTTTGGCTAATCCCCATCCCTTAACTTGATACAATAATCCCTCAACAGATTTTAAAGGGATACATTTTGAACCTGCACTTTTAAAATCACATACAACTTTTATATCCCAAGGAATGTATTATTCATAAAGATATTAATAGGACTGCCATGGGTGAAGCCGGGGTTGTGAATATTAAGAAAAGAAAATAAGTTGGAAACGATTTAGGAGATTTGGGTTATTTATCACACATTGATGAGCTGCTATTTAATATATAGTGAAGCCATTTACAGTTGGATGACCACAGCCTGCAGGATTTACGAGTTAGGAAACTGAAGGTGAGAACAGAGCGCTGCCAAGTCTTAAACACTTACACGCTCTCCCTGCTCTCCATCAGCCACACATCCACCGTAACATCAGGAGAAAACAGGCTTTGCACACTAGAACAAAAAACATTACGGCTACTTTAAACCCGTCTTTCCTGCACTTCTCATCTAAATGCAAAACAATTACCTAGGCCTACGTAACACTATATTCCAATGTAAACATTTCAGGTAACTTTCAGGCAGAATCCTGTACGTTAGTTAATTATTTGTTAATCAAAACTATATGAAAAACGTGGCCGCAGAATGTATTCTTTATAAATTAATAAAAGGTTCATTTTCTCTTGTGAGCTATTTAAAATGTTGACAATGGCAGATATTATTTGTTGAGCATTGTAATAACAAAAAGAGGCATGCCAAATACAATTTTAAAAATACAATAGCAAATGTCTCTGTGAAAATAACAAATTAGCCTACCACAAATACGCTTGAGTCCTCTTAACCCAAAATCAAAGTCTAATCCAATTTAAAAAAAAAAAAAAATTAAAAAAAATACTAAATGTAATCAAAAGAAACAATGACCTTTTTATCTGAGCAAAAGGTTTTGAAGTTTATATAAAATAGAACCAAATGGGGCAAAAGCTCCCCTTCAGATCGACTAATACACTATATGTTTTGCCTATAACTCCAAATCCACTTTCTAATACAAGCTTATTATTTAGCTTTCCAAATAACTGGTTTGGGCCATTGGGGTTAGACATGTTTTCCAACTGAACATGTGTCATAGTAATTAGACGGTTTTCGTTCAATCAAATAATTGTATTCAAAACAGTAAGCCACGTTCAGAACGACTTATCTCTTATCTTATCTTATATTTTTTGTTTTATCATGTAAGTCCTTAAAATATGCTAGTCAGCTAAGTTTTTGGAAGGATCCTAGTAGGCTACTGCTTTTATTTATTTTCAATCTGATCCTCGGATCTGTCCAAATCATAATTAAAAAGAAACTCATCCAACTGTCAAAACACTAAAAGAGATCATCTTTATAATTCTCAAAGAAAAACATAATTCATAAAAGGGACATATTCGCATCGTGTGTGTGTGTGTGTGTGTGGTGTGTGTGTGTGTGTGTGTGTGTGTGTGTGTGTGTGTGTGTGTGTGTGTGTGTGTTAGTCTGTACGTGTGTGTATGTGTTGTTTGAGGGTGACCTGAAATATGATTTATTTTTGGTGTTCTGCTGATTGTAAGGAGCGTAAAATGCAATACAAATGTATCAATGTACAATCAAGCTTAATATTATCTTAATGGCCTTTGAATCGTACAATTGTATTGATGTTGTGTTAGGGTGAAGTGTCTTAATCTTTAATTGTCTTAGAAATACATCCCAAAAACTATTAGTGCCAGATGTGTCCAGTTTCATAATTAAGATCTTATTCAGGAACGCGTAGCCTATAGTAAAGCACCTTTCGATTAAAATGATAATTGAAAAAAAACGGATTATATTGAAACCACATGTTTACTATGAATAGCTGAAAAGACAACATGAGGCAGCAGTTCATGATCTGCCATGCATATCTGTGAATAGGACGGATTAAGCAGAAACTGTCAGACTTAATGCCCGTTTCATCCAGTGTTTATGAAGTGTATCTGGCACTCAAAAGTCACCCTACACTGAACATTGGCCTTTAGTTGAAGTATTTAAAGACACGTTTTGCAGAGGCGTCATTACAAAGCGAAGCTACTGGATTCTTTTAAAGCGTTTAATGGGAACCTTCGTGCGTAAACGCGAAACATTAACACCTTGGATAATTTTGCGGTTTATTGTGTTCGTGAGTAGGTCCTGTAGGCCGGGATGGAAAGATTAAATCGGCCTTTGCTCGGTACATTCTCTTCTCATGTAGTTCGCTGTTCATCTGTTACACAGCAGTGACCTTACACGACCACTTCTCGCTATGCTGACCGCCCTGGAGAAATCACAATAGACTTAACTTTATTTGGGTTTTCTCTCTGGCAAGTGCCCCAAAAACATCTGGATCAGTCATTAAAAGAGTTTATAGGTGAGTTCCATGTGTAGAAACTTAAATCCTAAATTAGTTTTGAATGTTTTTGAAGAGGGTCCAATCTGTTCATGTTGCCATCTCCAAATGTTATTGGTCTTAAAAATGTGCAATCAATCGGTTGTTTGTCTAAACAATGTAAGCACCTACATACCCAGGAACACGAGAGATCCTTTGAAAAGATTGCGTCTTCTCTCTTTTTTATAGCATGCCTTCTTTTGTTCTCTTGAAGTGTCTTGGCCGGAGACAGTTGTGGGCCTACAGCAATATTATGTTGGATTATTTAACTTTTAACGTGTCTGCACATTGTAAAATGTGACGTCGTTTTTAAAATTGGGCCATAGCAACCTTGAGTCATTATTCACTTCCTTATATGATGTACATTTGAGTTTATACTAACAAAATGAATATGAACTGGTTATGAGTTTATTATGTGTTTTACCACGAGCTATACTTCACAGATTGGCCTTTGCACAGCCTGTAATTGTATATGTAATATGTCATCATAATGACCTAAAAACATAATTGTTGCAGTTACTTGTGGACTGAGCACACACACTATATTTCACTCTGTTTGATTCAACTTTTTCCCAAACCTATTTCGATCGTTGTAATATTTACACATTTAAACAGATTTAAGAGCGACATGTATGCATTTTAGCAGGAAACACTTAAGACTGCATTGCGTCATCACATTTTAAGAGTAGAGAAGCACTTTTTTACTAGTTTGTACTCATACCTCTGAGAACCTTGGAGGGGCGGTGCTGCCTCCTCTCCTCCTCCCAGCCTCTGGCTCTTCCAACCGGGAAGGCTGGCTCGGGGCGTGCGCTCTGGTGAGCAACTCCCAAGACTCAGAGGGGGTGAGACAACTAGACAGGAAGACCCATCCAGATCGATGGGAGCGAGGTAAAGAACAACCATCGAACTTAGCGACACAATTTGTTCTTTTTTTTGTCTTCACACCTTTTGAGCCTCATTACGCGCACTGATCCTCCTGCTCTCCAAATCAAGAAGATGCCCAAATCCTCACCGTGCGCATTCCCATGGTCCTCCCTGTGGCTGGCATCTTTGGCTACTTTGGTTGTGCAGTCGGTGCTCTCTTCCTCCTACTCTTCCTCCTCTACATATCAGAGATCTGCAGCCGATGGGAAGCGACCCGGCTTCATGGAGAGGACGCTGGTTCTCTTGGATGTCAACACCCGCAGTCCGATCAGAGTCCTCAACGACAACTTCCTTTCTTTGCAGCTGGACCCCTCGATCATCAAGGACGGGTGGCTGGACTTTCTAAGGTACCAAGAGTTTTCCTGTTTACCAACAGCATCGATCTGAATCTGTGTCCACATTAAATGTTTGGTCGTTCTTTTATTCATTAGGCAGCCACGTTGTCTGAATTGTCATATAGTGAGCCAGCACAGACACAAATGTGTGTCCTTAACCTATAGTCCATGCACAATGTCAAGTCATTAAAATTGTTTTTTGAAGTTGTATTATTTTCTGTTAGAACAACAACCTCTCCATTGGGTATTATGCCATCCATGTTGTTCATTTTTCACCTTAAAGCATTACTCAGAACCCTCAGAGACGCAAATTATAAGACTGTACGTTTTGGCCATGGATCATAGATCATGACATTTTAAAATTCAAAACTTGGCAAAATATTTCACTAGAAAATGACTTTTACATGACAAGACTACTGACTCATCATGTGCTGGATTTGATTTCAGTAACATATTCTTGAGTATCATTGTTTTTTTCAGCTTCTACATTATATTATTGTTAAAGATAAATAAGATTTGCTCAAGATTTGATTTACAAATTATTTTCTTTACATTATTTAATAATGTGCATTTTATGACTAAAAGACAGGTAAGCATGTTGTACCATGTGTGCCTGTTATTTGTCCTATGTGTGTTTTCCCCCCATAATATAATAATATAGAATATATATTTTAAAGGAATCTGTACATTTTTCTTTTCAATTTCAGTAGGCCTACATCAAAACTGTATATTCATCCTTTCTCTTTGTTACATAGCCTCCTATAGGTTATAACTTGGTTCAATGTAGTTGTTTTTTTGCTCATTCCTTTTATAACAATATTGAATCAGTGAATCTTCATTAACCAGACATTGTATAACCAGAAAAGTACATTATTGATAAGATTTGAATAACCCAACAATACTGCAGTGTGTATGACTCTCGGCCGTCACTTTATGGTGTGAAGTTAGAGGCGCCTGCCACGTAGACTGTAATTAAAAACACAAAAGATTAACAAGGTAAAGAAACTTAATCTACTGTCATTCGTTTTTTTAAATATTGAAATATTACAATCATATTACAATAAATGCCATTTACAACTGAATTGAATTTGTTTTCTGCTGCATGTTGTTTACATAATTTTAAGCTCAACGTTTTATTTTGAATTCCACACTTGTCATTGTAGACACTTGTTAATTACAAATAATTATATGTTTCATTGCAAAAAGCACAACAATTAATAAGTGCAAAAAATAAGCAAATTACCATTTTAGAAGTTCAGCTGGAAGTAAAAAGTATAGCATCTACATATTATAGCTATAATTGTGTTGGTCTTTATAAGAAGTCATTCAAATATATTGTGGAGAGTAAAACCTACACATATTACATATGTGTGTTGTTTTAATCCTTTTTAGATACACTGTTCCTGTTGCATCTGCTTTTCCCATAGTGTCGGGTGGAAGTTGTTTCTTGGCCTGCTGATGTCAAAGGGAAAAACAGGGCAGACGTTTTGACATGGGCCTAGGGTGTTTTTAACCGCCACAGCTGTTAAATGCCCTAATTTGCATATGTCTGTGTAAGGCTATATTTATATATTAGGCTATATTTATATATTTCAAATATGGAAATATATCTCAAATAAAAGATATTGAGCTGAATTTCGCTTTATCGCTTTTCTGCTCCGCCTATATTTGACCGCATTGAAACCACAAACAAAGACTACGTTTTAATGACGCACAGTTGTGACTACGTAACATTTCTTTAACATGTTCTTTGTCCTCTGTTCGCAGCTCAAAGCGGCTCGTGACACTCGCGCGCGGCCTGTCGCCTGCCTTTCTGCGTTTCGGGGGGAAGCGGACCGACTTCCTGCAGTTCAACAACCAGAAGAACCTCGCCAAGTTCAGAGGGCCGGGGCCAGACTACTATCTGAAGAACTACGAAGACGGTGATTGCACACGACATTTCATTTCCTCTACGTGTCTCCATGTATATTTTTGTCTTTGTTTGGACGTCCCTCGACTGTCTGTCTGATTTTCCTCTCTGTATGAATAGTCAGACGCACCGAGTCCATTTTACTGCAGACATATTCATTTTCCCGCTAAATGTTACATTGTTTCAGTAGCCTATTTTAGACAGGTTAATTTCCTTCAAAAAACATTACGCTGCCCTAAATTCGTGGCACCCGGCTTAAACACCGGACCTATTAATTCTCTAATATTAATCCTCTTTAAATGGGGAAGACACAATATAAGACAAAACTCGAAAATTCCACACAATTGGGTTCAATTTTACTGCACCTCAAAATGCAGCTTGCAAAACCATAACCAAAAATCAACTATAAAGTTGATTTAACACCTCTTTTAAACATATATTTTGACTTTACTAAAGTGGGAATTGTGAAAGGCTTGTGTAATAGACTGTATTCATTTTAGCTATGGCTTATTAAATGTTAACTGAGTAAGGGGCACTCAGTTAACAACAGTTTTACAAGCGTCTAAATTGACATATTCATATATCCAAATGTGTCTCAAAAAAACAAAACAAAAAAACAACACAACCTTTTAGGGTTCAACAGGTGGTCCAGGTTGAACTTGCAAATACATTTTTAAACACACTTTAGTTACAAAAATTATTTAATGTTGTGATAAATACTGCTTTTTGATCAAAATAGCCGCGTAAGTACGACATTGTTCAGGTCATGACATAAAAAATATTAATGTTGCGTTTATTTTTCCATTTATGCTGGCTTGCAGACATAGTGCGCAGTGACATCGCATTGGACAAACAGAAGGGCTGCAAGTTGGCCAACCACCCTGACATAATGCTGGAGCTGCAGAGAGAAAAGGCCGCCACCACACAGCTCGTCCTGCTGAAGGAGCAACTGTCCAACATCTACAGCAACATTACAATAACAGGTAGGAGATCACTCACACAAAAATACTGCTCTCCTGGGCACACACTCATATCCTGAGAAACATGTTGTGCATGTTCACATAAGTAGTCTGGACCCTGTGTGTCATGCACGTTCATGCAAATGTGTACTTGCACACACACGTGCACTCGCTCAAGGTTCAAAGCATGCCAATGTAAACCATCAGCTTTCAGAATGACAAATGTAATTTGTAAAGGAGGAATGTGGGGATGGATAGAGGAGTGCAGCAGCGGAGGCTAGTAAACAGAGCACTGACATTTTCAATGGTTACAGTTAACTCAACCTGACCGCAGAGAGAACTCTGGAGTCCGCATTTTGGGTGGGCTGCATTTCTTATCTGTTACTGTGATTGGCTTGGATGGAAATTAGGAACTGCAGGAGAAGGGAGTAAATGAAGGATTTGTCTGTTAAAATCACTGCAGTTTTTGGATTCATGGTAGTGAGTGCGTGCATAAAAGGAGTCAGTGTCAGAAATGATCAGTCAACTTTATGTGGTTTTAAAGAGCTGGAAACACACAGTTATTAACTTAGTTGGCTTATTTAGGATATAGAACAAATCATTTAAAGATAAAAGACTGACCTTAAAATGTAAGGAAATAAAAAAGCTTAACCCTGAATAATACAAAACTGAACAGCATTATAGAACAAAATTCTCCACATATCCAAATGTTAACTGCTCTGTTGCATCTTCATACAAAAACACTGACTCTTAAACTCTTTTGGCATCTTAAAATGATAGTGGGTCACAAGTTGTTTTTGTATTGGGTGGGCTTGGTTTTTGTTCCAAAAAAAGAAAATAAATGTAGTTATGGTAATGATCACAACCCCATGTTCACTTTAGATCCAGATAAATACTCGGCCATGTGTTTTGAAAAGACATTGATGAATGACATAATACAAAGAATCCAAATCTACCTCAAGTGAACCCAGTTGGACGTGTCACTAATTCATTCGGTCATAATGCACACAGAACTGGAGGTCTCGCATGAGTGGCTTCCCCATGTTTTCAGAAGGTCTCGCTTCCCTGAAGTGGCCGCGCTGTGAGTTTCCAATATTAGTGATAGATGTGGAACAACATGACTTCGTACATCATCTTCGTCTTGCAGATACTCTCAAGTGCAACAGTCAAAACATGGCCTCGTTGCATTTATCATATGAGACTGCTCATGTGAGGGCTGAGTTCACAAGTTCATATCCGGGAGTCTTGTAGTATAGCACCCTATTGTATAATTTGTATATAACACTTAAGGATGTTCTTTAGGCCTGACATTTTCACTTCGCTTTTAATACATAGAAACAACAATTTGGTGTATTTTGGTGTCAAATAACTTAAAACTAATAAAACCATGGTCGAGACAAATAACCCCTGTCTACATGTGGTGTAGCGCTAATGTTTCTAAAAATTAAAACCACATTTCCCATAAACCCTGCTGCTTCCTGTCCCAAGAAGGATGTTACCGTTGGTTACTTTCCTCTGCTGCAGCGTGAAGGCCCACATAGTCTTCTCAGTGAGTACGGACAGTTAAGAACAAACGTGGAAATGATTTACTGAAGGTTAAGCTAGCATACTGAAACTGCTAAATTATTTCACAGGTGGAAATAGGATTAAATAAAGTGAAAAAATATTGATGCAATAATAAATCACCACTGAATGTTATCTTCCCACTCACTATTTGAACTATTTCACTGATTGATTCGGGCCCTATGGAGGATTTGGTCTTTTGAAATGTGAAACTGGTGTGATGGTTCCCATTAAGAGTAGAAGTGTATTAAGAGACAGAGAGCGGTGCCTTGCTGTTTTTGAGCAGGTGCTCGTTGTTACAGACTGGTTGGCTGGGAGGGGAAGGGGGGGGGGGAGCCAAGCAGAAGGACATTATTTACATAAAGCTGATTTACTGCGTAGTTTCCCACAGAAGCGCATATTCTTTCAAGCACAGACACTAGCTGCAGGTTTCTCCCCTGGGAAATGTTTTAGTCTGAAGGATAGATTGTTTGTGAAGGTGGAGCAGCTGTTTTCTTCTTATAGTACAAAAGAGGCCTCGGATGGAATCTAAAATACATGAACTGTTTAAGTTACTCACCAGAAAAGGCACCGGCAATGCAGAAGAAGTCACGAGTGTGAACATGTTTGTGCTCGGGTCTCATTAGTACACTCATTTGAACTCCAAGCATGTTGTGTAAACTCAAAACTGTGCGCTCACATCTCAGTGGTGGAGGGTAACAGGGGTACAGAGGCACCAGAGATGTGTTTACATATGATCTGGTAACAATCAGTGTGTGTGTGTGAGTGTGTGTGTGAGAGAGAGAGAAGGGTAGTAGGTGTTTAAAGGACATTAAAATAGTCTCGCTCCATCCTTTTCCACTCACCACTGTCTGACCTTTGACCTAGGCTTGTTAGAGCTATCAATAATGGGGCCGCTCCGAGCCAACACACACTGACACACATACACATGCACACACACATTCAGCTGGGATTCAAGTTGAGTAAAATTCCCAAAGCTCAGACAAGTTCATGGTCAGGGTGATCTCATGTCTCCCTGCAGGAGTTTATCCCTCCATCAGACGTCACTTCTCCACTTCTTCTCGTCTCTTCCTCCTCTTCGCTCTTCTCCCCACCTTAACGCCTCTCTCGCTCATTTTCTCTCTTATGTTTACTGTTGGTTTAGCTGTGTATATTGTGTCTCCGTGTGAAAGTCCTTTGTTTATTTGACACTTCAGAGAATGAGGCAGTCACTCCGCTCAACTTGTGACCTCAAAGGCCTCATTCGTGTGTTTAAGGCTCAAAGGATAAACACAACTCAATTTAGGAATTCCTATACTGTGTTATTCTTGTAGTCTAAGGCCGGCCGATCAATATTTGAGAACATGGACTAGAAGAAAATCTTCCCAAAACAGAGAAACTGGAGAAGCAAGAGTCAAACAGAGGATATTTTTAGTTATAAGGTCTGCAGCTGCTCCTCAGGCAGTGAATGGAAAAGTTAATGTTCTTCTTCTGTTGCTAGTATCAACCATTTCTTTTCAAATATGTTTTTTTATTCCAAAAATAATGATAATACAGTATGTGCACAATAAAAAAAAGTATACAGTATTTAATCAATTGGGGCAAAATATTCAATTAATTCTGTTAATGCATGTAGCTCTAATTTGTTGCACAGACAGAAAAAGCTGCATCACTGGGACTAAACAATGTTATAGTCTACATGCATTCATCACCTACAGCCTTTTATTATTTACTTCACATATTTACAGTTTAGAGAGGAAAAAGAGGAACAAGTTATATACTTAGAGTCTGTATCAGTACAAGCAACCTCATCAAGAAGAACACATTACATAATGATTAAAAATGTACTTAAAAATCTAAATCAGCTTTCATTGTGAAACTTGCACAGCACACATTAAGTGTTAGTATCAGTGGGAAGCTACTGTACGGTTCCTTGGAGCATTTCTTTTGGTCCGGTGCCTTTCTCAGGTTCACCTCAGCAGTGCCAAGGCAGCAAACAGGCGCCTCTTTAATAATAATAATAATAATAATGCAAACTCAAATTTGTATTGGAGGTTGTATCTTGGACCAGTTATTGCTGTTGTGTCAGTTATTTTAAGTTTAGACACAGGTAGCTACCGGACAACAGGGAACAGCGGGGGATTGGGGAAGAGGGGCCATCTGGAGGGGATGTAAATGCTATGTAGGACATCATAATAATATATCATAACCTAGATCGTAGGGACAAGCTAGCAAAGTGGGCGCAGCAGGCGGAGTTTGACACCACACCACATGATGCAAAAGGTCGTCCTTTTAATTATATCAACATTAATGAGCATTATTCCAATGTTAGATTGGCCAACGTTGGCTTCATGATCAGGCATATGGCATGCAGCCTGACATCACTCGCCCCTTTCTCTCTTCCTTAGTCTGATCTCACCGTGTGTGGTGTCAAGTGGCACACATGTTTACAGTTTCTAATCAGTTGTTTGGTTTAGGTAAAGATTGCTGAGAGTCCATGAGACACTAATACCTGAGCCCAGCTCTCTTTGAACTGACACAGAGGTGCAGCAGTCTCAGCCGGGAGCCTCGCACTGAGAGCTGCAGGCCTCCATGGAAAGGAAGAATGACAAAATAGAAAAGTGTGATGCAATACTAATATAACCCTGCTTTCACAACAAACGTGCAACTGCAACAGAGCAAAGCCATTATATTCAACTGCGGTAGTGGCTACACGCTCCTGAGCAGCTGCACAAGCCAGAGAGCAGAATGGTTCTCACTGTCCTGATTTTCTACCGGATTTTGTGGCCAACTTCTATCTAAAGTGAACTTTAACTCCATGTGCTGACCTCCAGGATGCGTGCTCTGGCATTGACATGAGGTGTTGGACGGATCTAAGATCGGAATGAGTGGTGGATTGAACTTCATGCAGTAGACTAAAGTTTGCACACAATTTGCCTCAAACTTACTGTTTCGGTTTTCCTGACCTAACCAAATCTTTAGAGTTATTTGCCATGTAGACTATCCTTCCCTTATCAAACCATACTTTGCTATGTACACATGTAGTAGAAAGCAAGATTATAATTGTTTCTTTCCAGTGGACATTGTAACTGAACATAGGCTTTTCTAAATTCAAACTCACCCCTGGATAATTTGTGCACAGTTGAGTTTGTGGATATCTCAGCTATTCAATGATCTCAATTGGCTAATGATGCCAAGTTTGAAAATGAATGCAGTGATGGTTTCCATTCATACTGTATGTAGTTTAGAGAATCCTAGATAGCTGCTTTGCAGGATTATCAATGCGAAGCTATGAAAACTGCAGTATGTCTGCGTGATGTAATACTGAAGTTCCTTAAGAGCACCAATTTGAATATTTTAAAATTGCTTTGGCTCAGTTATCGCATGAGAATTTCAATGAGCAAAACGCTTTTCTGTAATACAATAATGGAGAGGACTGAAGGGAAATGCATGTCCCTGACAAAAACTATTATGAGTGACTA